ATCATTTTATAAAGATAATAATTAAGTATTTTGTTAGAACTCAATGATTATTCTAATTATATTTTAGATTTTTTATATTTAAAATGAGATGTTTATCTTGTATTTGATTATGTTTATCTGCAGTTAATTACACGAATTCAGTTATGGGATGAAATTGGATAGGGATGAAATTGTTTAGGGATGAACGGGTTTAAGAGTTTTAAGAGTTTAAGAGTTTTTAAGAGTTTTAGCCAAATGCTTTATAATATAGTATAGATTAAATTTATAATAAGAAATTGAATTAAAGAAATTAGACAGAAAATGAGAACTTTTGAAAAGTTAATTTAATACTAATATCGATATTTTTTTCTTCAAAATTATATTTCGTTAAAAAATAAAAATATTATCGTTTTCTAAAACCACGTAAAACCGTATTATATGGACAAAAAATGAATAAAATGAAAAATTAAAATCTAAATATATTTCGTTGCATTACACGAGTACCCTTCTAGTATATTTAAATTACAGTACCTTGTTACTATTTAGAGTTAGTTTTAGTTCTTTTTATAACCGTGAACGGGGTCGGGGATTGCATTCCTCACCCCATTCTCACCCTAACTGTTGAACAGTGAAATATTATAAGTATTCATTATGAATAAAATTACATCATATTCATGAATAATGCATGAATAGTTGGTTCTCGTTGTTTTTAAAATGTTTAGGATTTCTAAACCATCTACAAATCTTACACAAAATACCAAATTTGACACTGAATCACTTCAACACCAATCTTTGCACCAAATTTGGTATAATGGATAGTAACACACAAAATCCGAGTTTTCCTCTCTCATTTTATTCTAATTTATGTTTTATAAGGCAGTAGTTCTCATGGAACTGCTTTTTGTCCACATGAGATTTATTGGATTCAAGTGGTTTGGCTTTAATTGGATTTGGAAATCCAAGTAATCAAGTAAAATGATCATGGACTGTTGAATCTTTGTTTTGAGCAAATATTCGGAATCTGAGTTTTCATGACTATATTTCAGTTTAATAGATCATAGTTGGGTTCAAATCACTTGTGATTTTACATTAATATCATGTGTAAAATCACTTGTGATTATGCATGATCAGGCTAAAAAGCCCGCACACCCTTTTGTTCACCTTGTTTTATAATCGCATGTGATTTTAGTGCAAAATGACATGTGATTTGACTATTCTCTTGTTTTCTTATTTCGACAATGTTTCTGTTTTAATACTGATCAAATTTGATTTCATGATAGGGTTTGAACATTTAAGCCCTGATACAGGGGTGTTCAAAAAACCGACCAACCTGATCAACCCAACCCAAAAAACTCAACCCAAGATAGTCCGACATATAGTTGATACTAAAATTAGGTTAAGCTGCATCTATTAGATTGAAATTGGGTTAGTGTAATTTGAGCCCAACTTAACCCGATGAACCTGATATTTTTCTATACTATGGATTTAATATCATTGTTAAGTTCTTGATTAATACATGTACATTAGATTTTAGACCAACCTGTAATTAGCTAAATTCAAATTTATATTACAATTTCAACCGTAATTTGCTTTCTTATTTGTATGAACCTTCATTTTTTTTTGAGTTTATTAGTCTTTTTTATATGTTCCTATTTTGATTTACTTTATTTATACAAATGCTTAATTACATTATAAAATGATGTATCAAAGTTTCAACTCAATCAATCCAACTCGTACGGTTTAGGTTGTAGTTTTTCAAACCGCAAACATTAGGTTAAGTTGTTTAAATGTCTTTAACCTGACCAACACTAACCCATCTATGGCCCACGTTCAATCATGTATTTATATCATTTTTCTATAAGTATAATAGTTGTATAAAACTTGGGATCATATTTTTTCACTTGAAACTTCACAACAAAATACTGTGAAAGTAACATTCACAGTGTTTTTGCTGTGAAAGTTCGACCCTTTTTTTAACCTTCACAATATTATATTGTAAAATTTCAAGTGTAAAAATACATGTTGATCTCACGTAAATCCAACCTGATTTGTATAATTTTTATTTTAATTAAATAAAAAAAATATTAACATCAATAATTGGAAAATATTGTATGAAACGGTGCTCCGTTAACAACGAAAGGCCCAAAAGGAAAAGATGCTGCCAAAGGTTGGTGGGAACTACAAAATCTTGTTCTTCATTCTCTGTGATTTTTCTTGGAGTTCGGACTTTCCGAGGGTATCGCAAATCCTTGATTTCTAATATCTTACTTAAACCCTAACATTCGTAGTTATCAGGTACACTTTTACAATCGGATTCATACGGTTTTTCAGATACATTTGCTCGTGGTTTGATTAGAATCGTGTTGATCATTTGATTGATTGAAGTTTGTGTGATTGATCGGTTATTTGAGTTGATTTTTGGTTTGGTTGTTCTTAATTTCGCCAATTATGGCGGATGGAGACGATAACGATGCCATGTTGAGCGATGTGGAAGAAGAAGATAACCCTCCGGTTCCGATTGTAATCGGAACTCCATCGTCAACGGAGGATGTGCCGATTGAGAGATTTCGAGAGCTGGTGGCGGAGCTTGATCGTGAACGGCAAGCTCGTGAGGTAGTGGAGAAATCAAAATCTGAATTGCAAGTGTCGTTTAACAGATTGAAAGTTCTGGCACACGAAGCGATCAAGAAGCGAGACGAGAGTTCGCGCCAGAGAGATGAGTTTTTGAGATCGAATGAGAAGTTATCGGCGGAGTTGGCTGAAATTGTTAAGGAAAAAGATGAGCTGTTGAAGCAGAAAGATGGGTTCGTTAAGCAATTAGAGGAATCAGTGAAGGCCAAGGATTCTTCTAGGTCGGAGATTGAAACTGCTGCACAGATGTTGGTGACCGGAATTGATAAAATTTCTGCCAAAGTGAATAACTTCAAGAACTTCTCGGCTGGAGGATTGCCAAGATCCCAAAAGTATACTGGTTTGCCTGCTGTTGCCTATGGAGTGATCAAGAGAACTAATGAGATTGTTGAGGAGCTTGTTAGACTGATTGAAACGACAGCCAAGTCTAGGAATGAGGCAAGGGAGCAAATGGAGCAGAGGAATTATGAAATTGCGATTGAAGTATCAGAGCTTGAGGCCACAATCAGTGGGTTAAGAGAGGAGGTGTCCAAGAGAAATTCTGCTGTTGAAGGTTTAGAGAAATCAATGGATGAGAAAGATGGGATGATAGCACAATTGGAAAGGGAGTTGGATGAGAAGCAAGATTTAGTGAGTGAGTATGGTAATAAGTTGAGGATTTTGGAATCACGGATGGATTCCCAAAGACCATTACTGGTTAATCAATTGAGTCGTGTTTCAAAGATACATGACCAGATTTGCGGTGTCATTAAGATAATTGATGGTAATAAGAAAGAGCAATCGGGTTTATCAGATTCCTTGTTTGTCCCACAAGAAACAGATGCAGAGGAGAATATACGAGCTTCTTTAGCTGGATTGGAGATGATCAGTGAATTAAGCTCCATGGTTTTGGAAAAAACAAAAGATTTGGTAGCTGAGAAAAGTCGAGAAGTGAAAAGTCTAAATGAAACAGTTACTCAGTTAGTAAGGGAGAAAGAGCATATTGGGTCTTTACTGAGGAGTGCTTTGTCAAGAAGAATGTCAGCCGATCTGTCTTCAAAAACCAATGAGTTGTTTAAAGTGGCAGAAAATGGATTAAGAGAATCTGGGATAAATTATAGGTTTAGTAATCACACTGTGGAAGGAAAAGTTACATCTTCAAGTGATAAGGCTGCTAATGTAGAATCAGAGGATGATGAAATATATACTTTGGTAGGTCTCTTAGCATTAACTATACGTAGGTAAACTTCCTCAAAGTATCTTTTTGGCTGAGATGCTTATCCGCATGTGCAGGCTGGTGCTCTTGAGAACATTATAAAACAGTCTCAGCTCGAGATTATTGAACTGCAGCATACTGTAGATGAACTAAGGTATTTTCCGTTTAATGCGCACCATCATGATTGCCTATCTCATTGTAGCTTTTTGTTGGTAATGATTCTTCGTAATGCTGGATGTAGACTAGATGATGCTTGGCAAGTAAATATTAACCTTTATCTAACATATATCACTGTTCTTTTGGGTGTTGACTTGGTAATGGAAATAACTCAAATGATTTAATTTAAACCAACCCAACTAGTATTCTGGCTGTTCCTTGTATATGTATACATCAATTTTGTATGGCTTGACTATGACGGTACCTTTAAATGATCTTAAATTCTCCTTTTTTTTTGTATTTGTATATATCCATGAGAAATAGCTTCAGGTATTTGCTAACTGTGGTGTGTTTGGATTCTACTCGTAATCAAGGGCAGAGTCAAGTTTACTTAAGGAACATGCTGAGGCTCAAGCTAGGGAGCTTTTGCAAAGGAAACAACAGGTAGAGGAACTTGAAGAAAAGGAGAGAGTGGCTAATGAAAATGTAAGTTACTGTTGCTAATATTGTACTTATGAAGAAAACAAATTAAACCAAGAAGTTATGGTTCGAAAGTTGATGCTATAGTTTCTCTTTCATTCAGCTTTCATTAGTATTGTTCATATACAAGAGCCAAAATCTATAGCAGTACACTACTTATCAAGAACGTTCGTTTTGATATATTGTTTTTACTTGCCTGTGGTCTAGGTTGAAGGGCTTATGATGGACATTGCTGCAGCCGAAGAGGAGATCACAAGATGGAAAGTGGCGGCACAGCAAGAAGCTGCAGCAGGCAAAGCTGTGGAGCAGGAGTATATAGCACAGGTATGCTCACATTTATTTCTGGTTCCTTATGTGTTCATTGTTTTCTTCTTGAGATATAAGCAGTGGAATATGCACCCAATAGTATAAGTTATTCCTGGTCGACTGTAAATGTACGCATTAATTCTGTCAATAAAGGGCCTAATTGAGTCATACGCATTCAGAAACTAGCTTGTATGCCACTCAGAAACTTTGCTCTATGCCGAAAATCAGTAAAATAGTTGCATTCTTCAGTTAATGACAATATTTTATGATTTCGGAGAACTATTTGTTTGTTGTATACAAAACGTGAGTATAAAAAAATCTCATGCCTATTCTCTGATATTCGATTTGCATGCTAAATTTGTCTGAATTTCTATGTTGATATTAATAGCTGTTGTGCAAGTAATTGTAGGACTAGTTTACAAGCGTAGTTATTAATGCATGAATCGAATTTGAAAATCACCATATGTATTTCGTGAATACTGAATCAAGTTGATATCATGGATTCACTTAAAATTATATAAACGTATAATACAAAAAGTAAGCATCCTAATGATGTACAAACATGTGAGTCGATCATGAGAACACCAGATACTAGAATCAATATTGTTCATTTGACTATAAATAAGCTTTAGATCGATAAACTTGATGCACTAGCCCAGAAAGCAATTGGTATAAGGTAAGAAATCCTAGGTAAAGCATATAAAATCTTACGAAACTACTTGATTTGGCCACGTGATTGACTGATTGTGATTCATTATTTCATTGATATGATGGCTGTTCAGATAGGATTCCAATTTGCTAATGGGTTTCGTCATTTGTTTCATGAATCAAATAGAATCATTGGTTTCAAATTGTGGGATTGCCCCTTTGATTACATTTTGTAATTACAACATGGATACCTATGTTCCCAAAAAATGTGAGAACATAAATGACTAGCATGTTTCCTGGGTTGCTTGAACATAAATAAAACTAAGAGGGACAAGATTGAAAGTAATCTATTACCTAAGCTTGTTCCGCAGATGGAACCCGAGTTAATTTTTCTCATATATAAACCATATACCAATAATGAGATACTTTTTCATAGAAGCGTAGAGATGAAACCCAATTTAATTTACTCATGTCCTATTTGTCTAATGCATACTCGTTCTAGCTTAGACAAGTTATAAATTGGTTTATATTCATATGGCATTGGGGAAAGGGTGGGAGAAGGAATGGAAGCTAGGGGATGACGAGGAAACATGCACAAAACAAATGCCAAAGAAGCAAGTTGTGGAGTCGAATATGGTATATCAAATCTTGAATTTGATTGATTACACCAACAGCGGAATCTGGATTCCACAAGTATGGAAATCACCATCGACTGATTCCTTGGGTTTGGATGGAAATATTATCCAAGTTTGTTTAAGCAAATCAAATCTGATACACAAGTTTAGAAAGCAGACTGAATCTGGATCCTTTAAATTGTTTGAACTTGAAACAACTGGGAATTTGACACACTACATAGTATTGTGTAATAGTAGCATAGTTTATAGTTTTCGGGTTGTTCTGTAAATTATATATAACTATGATTAGTACCAAGGTCCAGGTGTAATAGTCGATTAAATTAATGGTACTAGTACATAGTAGATATGCATGCTTATATTCATGCATACTACATACTCCTTCAGTCCAGGAATATGCCCATTTCCTTTTTGAGCAAGGTTTTAATATGAATTTACTTATTTACCTTGTTGTCACAGAATAGTAGGACAACAAGTTTGGTCTATAGGATTCCGTTATTTGTGAGTTCGAGGAGCATTTAATATATATTTATCAAAATCAAACCTCTCTTGATGGATTATGTGCCATGTCAAACGTTGTATGTGTTTTGAGATAGTGGGAGTAATATCTATAATATATCTACACGCTTATATTTATTCTACTACTATATTTGGAATTAGAATCATTTTAAAACACACAAACATACATAAAAATATAAACATATTATCTAATATCTAAGTATAGATATACATAGATTAGGGTAGCAGACTACGCGTGAGAATCTGTAACTAGTGGAGATGTGGAGGATGGGGGTAGGGTTAGTGGGTCGGAAGTTAGACCTAGGGTGGGTAGTTCTTCCTACCTTGGCTATGTTTTCTTGCATGTTTTGTTTGTTTGTTAGAATGTTATTTCTAACTCGTTTTCAATTTCTAGCAAACATTTCTTATTTTTGAAGTTTTTCTATATTCTATTTCCGCAAATTTTATCTTTTTTTGTACAATGGGTCTTCAGTCTTCATGGAACCAGCTGCTTTTACCCTTGGGTTAGACGTGAGTTTTGCGTACATCCCACCCCCTAGAACCCAGCACCTCCGGGTGGGAGTTACTGGGTTTGCTTGGTTTCTATCTAATATCTATGTATGTGTGTATTAAAGTGATTCTAATTCCAAATAGGCAAATATCACAGTAGAATATGAATGCATTGTTACTTGTGTATAATTATTCGGATTTAAATGAAAGTGGTATATATTAATTCAAAGTATTAATTGGTTTACTATTTAGTTTGGATGTCAAATAATTTTTTTTTATTAAATTTAACACTAGTTAGAGCGAGTCAATTGCAACTCATAAGGTTAATCTTTTGTGACTGGAAGGTCGTGTGTTCGAATTACTAGAAGTCGCTTTGCACCTAGATTTTCCTTTTTTTGGTACATTAAACTATTATCTTATTAAACTAGACAATTCTTGGACACCTTGGCCTTGAGGAAAACGATTGATTCTAGTGATTTGGAGGGTTCAATTCTTATGATCGACACTTAATTTATTAATTCATTATGAATTAAATTCAAGAGCCACCATTCCTAACCAAACTAAACAAACCCAATATATCCCACTCGAAAATAGAGTTTCGAACTGTGATGGATCCAAGATTTTTGCTGACAAGGTGGATCAAAGGCCCGCAAAGTCACTCGATGTGTTTTTAGCCGAATTTCACTTTTTCGAGGATTTTTTTAAAAAAATTTCTTGGTTGATTTTGAGGACTTTTTCTGTTTTTTGGTTGAACCCCCTTGTATTTTCTAATATCCCGAGACACTTTAGCGTGTGCATTTTTCATACCTGAAAAATTTCTACTAGTGAAAATTGGTTGAGCAGGTGCACTGGACCCCACTGGGGCCTTTATAGGTCCTCCCCTCCCCTAGTATGGGAGGAGTAGGATGTATGCAGACCTGACCTCAACCCCAAAGGGTTAAGCCCCCCCCCCTCTCCCCCCCTCTCCCCCCCGGTGGGTAATACAAAGCTGTTAATCCTGATGATTGGCCAAAGACTGCTTTTTGCATCCCATATCATCGAACTTGGACAAATTTTTTGCACCTGCTAGAGACTAGAACAACGACTTCTTCTGCATTATAACTAGTAAAAGTATATGTAGCATCAACCCACTGTTCCTATGATGATCTAAATGGTCTGCTACCATGGCTGCAGTTATCGACCATACGCCAAGAACTGGAAGAAGCAAAGCAGGTTGTGATAGAGTCAGAAAAAAAGCTAAAATTCAAAGAGGAAACAGCATCCGCCGCCATGGCTGCTAGAGACGCGGCAGAGACATCACTGAAATTGGCAGACACGAGGGCTACTCGTTTGAGGGAACGCCTGGAAGAGTTGACTCGTCAACTTGAAGAACTCGATACACGGAAAAGCTCAAGCAATGGAAAGAGATCTAGATACATGTGTTGGCCGTGGCAGTGGCTCGGTTTGGACGCTGTTGGACCCCACCAACCCGACACCGTTCAACGTACTTCAAATGAAATGGAGCTTTCTGAACCTCTTCTCTGATAGCGTTCGTGTTTTCCAGTTTGTTTTCTTTCTTTTTTTCCCATACACTTAAAAAATGGTAGAACTTTAGCACATTCTTTTTCTGAGTCTTTCTTATAAACGGTTGTTCCGTGTTGTTGATTTATTGTACAGCAGATATGAAAAGTTGACGTGTGAATTGTATCAGGTTTTAGACAGTTTCTGTGATCGGTCTGTTTGAGGCTCGAAATTGGGAACCGCAAATCTCGAATGAAGTGTGTGATTTTTGGTGTTCGTTTTTCTTGTACCGAAGGTATCGACGTCACAAGGATCGGGCCTTAACCGGTCCTAAAAAGACGGTCATTTTTAGCAGGCTGGGCCTTAACCGGATATCGATTGCTTTGGATTTGCATATCGATTTATTGTGGTGTGGATTATATACACTTTGCTAACGACTTGCAATTGGATTTGGTTATGAACTTATTGTAGGGATGGCAAAAAACCCGCATCCGATGTGGAACCGATACCCGATGTTGGTTTAACGGGGAATCCCCGAATTTATAAAGGGGTAACCCTCCATCAGTTACATTTATTAAGTATTATAATTGATATATTTGTGCTTGAAGTACGTTTTTTATGTTATCCTTATACAAATGTAACAATTAAAAATATTTTACCTTTATATGTCGTTGAAACGTAAAATTGGCATTTATATACATATTATATAAAAACATTACATAAAAAATTAAAATTTATACACATAAAAGAATGAGACATGTAAGCTTCTTATAAACTTTAAGTTATGAGTTACCAATAACTTCCACCATGGTTTTAAATTAAATTTGAAGTTATTGGCTCGGCTTTTTTGCTTTGTGGTGTTGCAAAAAATCCCCAATGATTCGAACTTAATAATTATTGTACTCGAGTCGATCTTAAACACAAAATAAAGTTTCTTTAACTAAGTTAATTGAGCTTCATAACAACAATGTTCGATTTGGCCCGAAAGCTCGATACATTTTTTCAAGCCAAACATGTTAAAATGTTCATAAATCATACAATCAATATATAAAAATTATCAAGCTCGAGCCAATAAACGAGTTAAACGAATTCAAGCCCATAAATTCTTCTAGGTACAACGTATAACCTCTTCGTCTCAAAACCGGGACCATGGAACAATAATGAGAGAGGACGACGGAGAGTGCCGATTTCTCTTCTACTCGATTAGGGTTTTCTGATCCTGATGATGATGTCTTGGTGGCAGTTCTTTTTTGATGATATCTCAAAGTAATGCTGATCGGCACTCGTTTTGTTGGTGGTGGTGGTGGTGGCAGCGGTGATGCCGCTCCAGGAGGGAAGGATAACGATATTGGTTGTGGACCTGAATGATACTCTTCTGGACCGGACGATCTTTAGAAAAGCCATGCGTAAACCCGACCTGATACAAATTGAAAATAGTTACAACTTAAAATGCGGTTTCATAAGCCAAACTAAACCAAACAAACCCAATACATCCGCACGGAGTAAGAGTAAGGTGCAAATTTGGTTTACCCATGGAATGGAATTGAATTCCAAACATTCCACCAACCATGGATTTCATCATTCCAACATAGACGGGAATGAATTCAATTTTCCTACCCATATTCTTAAAAAGACAAAACTACCACTACAAAATCCATTTTCTAACTTCTTGGGTTAATATTATTATATACATATATGAAAAAGGTCCCAAAAAGGTCAAGTTCACAAGAAATGTTTAGTAGAAAGTGGATGATCCAGATTTGGTCAAACACTTTGAATGTGAGAAAAATTAGGCATGATTTGGATTGTAAAGAAAACTTTCAATGTAATAAATGGGTTTTAAGCTTACACGACATTGGTTGATTTTGATGCGACATTTTTCCATGTAATAAATTTACAATATAACTTGACAATTTGGCGTCTACGTCATCAATAGTTACAAGATCCACTGGTCAAAATGGGTATGTAATAGGAAGAATTGAACGCTTGTTACACTTAATTGAGAAGAAAAAAATTTAATCGTTACACTAAATAGGAATTAAAACAAACTTTGTTGCACTTTGGCCTATATATTACATATATCAACACATGCATGTGCAAGTGCAAGTGCACACACACATACATAGATGAATGCGTATTCGACATAAGACATGTATGTATCTAACTATTCAAGTATGTGTATAAGATATTTTAGCCCAACATATTGAGATTAAACTACAAAACCAGATACTCACTCAAATTCGGAATAACAATTGATCAGATATTTAATCAGATTGAATATAGGTATATTCGAATTCACATCAAAATATTATCTGTCAGAAAGCAAATTTTAATTGATTTTATTGAAACCAAATAATTTACCTATTATTCAATTCAGAACTGTTTAATGATTGGATTTTCAGTTACCATTTGCAGACCAGGCTTGTGTATTTATCCTAACAGGCTGGTCCTATAAATGCAGCACTAAGAAACCACTTCTGGGAACTTCAATAAGCACTTAATAAGGGTATAAGCTGCAATCTTTCTGTGAACCAAGATGCCATCTTTTGATATTGAGATTAATGACCAGGCTTAAAGCAAAAGAAAAATATTCCAAGAATTAATTATTGTTTTAATAAATGTGGGACCTTTTCGGTAGCTCACAATGTCAATTGACCACAATGTTATTTTCATCCCTGGCCAATGCTTAAAATACAAGAAAAGGAACAGATATCTAAATCCCTAAGGTAGCATTTGGTATTCAGACAAGACTAAACTAGACTGGCCAGGACAAAAGAACAAGATTGGACTGGACAGGGCGGTGGTGAGCAGTGGAAATGGAGGACAGCAGTAGCAGCTGACAGTGGTGGTGGTTGTGGAAGAGGTGGGGAGGAGGTAGAGGTGGCCGATGATGGTGATTATGGAGGTGGTCAGCAGTGGCCGCTGATGGTGATGGCGAAGGAGATGGGAGATGGTAACCATCAAACCAAATACCATATTAGGTTTATATCCAATGATGATAGATTGGTGAATGGTGATTTTTTAGTTTGGTCCCATCCTTGCCCCCATCTTGTTCCACCTATTTTGGTGGAACAAAAAAGCCTTTTTTGTTCCCATCCAGTCCCTGTCTCTGTTCCTGCCCTATGTTGCGAACATGGAACAATGAGTCTTTGTCCTGTCCTGTTTCACCCCGGACATGGAATAGTAAGTTTTGTCTTGTGTCCAGTCCAATGTACCAAACACAGCCTAACAAGGATATTGAAAACCTTCCTTACATGAGACCAAAGATCCATATGTACAAAACATATATTTCAGCAGTACTTCATGTGCATAGTCGGATATTGCAGCTAGATCATCTTTCTAACTTACACTAAACAATCTATAATTAATTTGACTGGTTTATGATCATGAACAAGTGAATCTCTAATGTGTTCTTTTCATCTTGAAGGCCAAGACCACACATAATTTGCAGACTGTGAGTCGTTACTAGAAGTTAAAACTTGATTACCTTGCTCAGCCTGCAGTTCATTGCAAAGATAAGGTAGCAACAAGGCTGACTTTAGAGTGGCATGTATTCAGACGGTTCTCTTCTCGTGCCAAAGTTTAAATCGTATATTTCAACCTGAAATTTCATGTGAATAGTTGAGTGGAATTTTTTTTAAGATAGAATTGGTATATGAATTGATAGAGACATCACAAAATTACAAACCTTTTCCTGTACTTATGCCAGATGCATCTTTTGAATGGATGGCATTAATAAGAGTCTCTGAAATATCTCTATCAAGAGTAAAACCCTTATCCATCATCTGATCCCACACCATACAAGCCAATGAGAGCTTCTTTTCCTGTATGAGTCCTCCAATGATCAATTTGAAGGTCACTTCATCTGGATACAAACCTTCCACTTTCATTTGCTCAAAAAGATGCATGGCTTCACTTACCCTTGAAGCCTTGCATAACCCACTAATGAGAGCATTGTAAAAAACAACATCAGTGGTGATTCCGTGCTCTATCATATCACAAAAGATGGTGTGAGCCATCGATATTCTCCCTGTCTTGCACATATGATCAACAATGGTCGTATATAATACACGATCGGGTAACAAACCCATATCTGTCATTTTGTCAAGAAGCTTCTTTGCCACATTGGAACTACCTTCTCTAAGAAAAGCTTTTATAAGAATGGTAAATGTAACAACATCAGGAGGAATTCCTTGACGGCCCATCTCCTCGTATAACTCATACGCCCTCCTAGTGTGAGAACCCTTGCAGAGTGCTCTAATGATTGTGTTATAAGATACAACATCAACAACACCTTTGACTTCCATCTTCCTCACCATCAACATGTATGCCTTTTCAATACGATTAGCTTTGCAAAAACCTTTGATAATTTGGTTATAACTGTAACTATCAAGCTTCATCCCACTCCGCTCCATTGTCTGTATCAGCTTTTCAGCCTCCTCCAACATCAACTCGTCACAACAATAATTTAACAACACATTGTAGGTAACCAAATCAGGTGCACACCCATTCTTCCTCATAAAGCTCATAAGAGCTTGTGCTTTATCAAGGCGACCACCTCTACAAAAGCCATGAATGAGAACATTATACACCGAAGTGTTAAAGTCAAGTTTCATGACACCTACTGTCAATTCATAAGCCAAATCAACCTTCCCAATACCACATAAACCCAATACAAGTGCCCTACAAGCATTAGCATCCGGTCTTAAGCCTTTCTGAATCATCGTCTGCCACATTTGAACAGCCTCATCAAATCGTTCAGCCCTCATCAGACCGCTAATAACCGTAGTGTAACTCACCACATCAGGCTTTCTCCCCGTTTCAGCCATATCTTCCAACACCCTTAAAGCCATGTCCACCAAACCCCCCGAACATAAAGCATTCAAATACATATTGTACGCCCACATGTCAGGCACAGCTCCTATATTATTCATGTCTTTCAAAAGTTTATCAACCAAGCTCAAGTCTTTAACTTTACATAAACCACATATAAACCTCGAGTATGTAAACGAATTTAAAGAATACCCTTTTGGAATCATGGCATCGTAATACAATTCCACCAACTCAAAACGAGAATGGCATACCAAAACACCAATAATACGGTTGTAGTCAATGCTGAAAACTCTACAATCCGATTGAGTCATTTCGTCGAACACTTGGAGGGCTTTGTCAATTAGACCAGTTTTAACGTAGCTTGATATAAGCGAACGGTATATGAGCCGATGTCTACCAAGAGCTCTATACATATCCAACTGGGTATCTCAAGATATACATATCATCAGACTAACAGAACTCCGAGCATGAAAAACAAACTCGAAGACGAATTATGCTCTAATTGGTAACCTGTATAAAAGAAATGAATCGGAATGTGATTTATAGAATCGATTTGGATCGTCTAGCCACAAATGCAAACACGCAGACGCAATAGAGATGAACAGAAAGAAATGCGAGATACCTGGTCGGCCGGAGAGCAGACGGTGAACAAGATGGAGAGAGGAGACATAGATGAACTCCGAACCCGAGTCCAGATATTCAAATCCATATGGGTTAAGATATATGGGCTTTACTTTTGGGCCTTTGTAATCCATCGCCCATACAAAAGTTATAAATTTTATTTTTTTATTTTATTCTCTGATTTTGTCGATATAATACGGTGTTATGTGCTTTTAAAAAAAGACAATATTTTTATTTTGAATAAAATAAAATTTTAAAAATATCATAAAAACTTTAAAAAAATATATCAATATCAGTATCAAATTAACTATTTAAAAATTCTCATTTTTTGTGTAATTTTTTTAATTCAATTTTTTTATTATAATTTAATTTATATTTGATAACGAAGTAATTTATTTATGATTTAACAATATGATTTTTTATAAAGATATTAATTAGCTATTCTCTTAGAACTCAATTATTATTCTAATTATATATTTAAAATGAGATATTTATTATGTATTTGATTATGTTTATTTGTAATTAGTTACACAAATTCAACACATAGAAATTTAATAAGTTGTACTTACGCACAATTTATTTATAATCTTAAACTTTAAGCAATATGTATCAATAAACAGTATTTCGTACATAAAAATAGTTTTAAGAGTTTTTGTCAAATATTTTATAATATTGTATAAATTATTTAAAAAAATATTTATTTATTTTTATGGCAATACATAGACCGTAACAATTTGCATATAATCATATATTATATCCATTTGATCTATACAGTTATGGATATAATTTTTATCATATTTATATATCTGTAAAAACATGACTCTTCATGAGTCTCAAACTTTCATACAGTATGATTTAGGTCATTATATTTGAACAACATGTTATAAACAGCTCTACCAACATACACTGATTTTACATTATAAGCACGCCTTATCATAGTTAACAACAATTCGATATGTGAATCCAGTAATTAAAATTGTGTTTTATATGTATAACATACTTTACATATCATATCGGAATATATTTGTCATGTTAATCAGTTTCAAAACAGTAAACACATAGCATTTAATTAATCGTTTGTTTGGATATATTTTTATAAATATTTAAAGTAAATTACAAATATCGTCCCTATGATTATATGAAAATTGTAGATTAAGTCCTTAAAATGAAATATTGGTTTCGGTTTTATTATAGATTGGATCTCTACCTCTAACTCCTTTAAGAAAATGAAATTAATGTGTAAAAGACCAAAACGTCCCCAGTTTAACGAAAGTAAGGTTGACGGAGTTAGAAACAAATACTCGATCCAAAAACAAAATTGAAACCACAATAATAACATGTTGGTTTGAGGAACTTGATCTATAATTTTCATATAAACCAAAGAAAAATTTCGTAATTTACGCAGGTATTTATATTGATTTTATACAAATAAACTCACATACTCTCCTCATCTTTGGTAAGGTTTGAACTTTTGATCTTCTAGAGGGTCAATGACTCATATAGACCCTTTGGTCACTTCATTTATAATGCCCCTTTGTCATGAAAATTACAAGAAAAACACAAATACAAAAAACTGCCTTGAAGTAATCAATCTTATTTCATTTTTTAGTCACTTTTTTGAACTTTTACCCAAAATAATCAGTCTTTATATAGATGTTTTACGCATTTACATAAAAAGGGGAAAAAACCCTCATGCATGATTCTTTACCCAAAAATTTAAATTCTTGTGCAAAATTTTGGATCTTGCGTAAAATTTTAAATATAAATATTTACACAAAAAATCTAGTTTTTTTTTTATTTTTAATCTAAAAATTGAGTTTACGTAAATACATAAGATATTTACATAAATTCTAGTTAAATTAAAATTTAATTGAAAAAGTGACTGGAAAAAAAATGTTAAAAAAATTGACTATTTTGATCAATTTCCCCACAAATAATTTTGAATTTTGATCATTGGTCTAACAGTATCGTAGTCTTTAGTCTCTTGGAAGACCAGAGATTCAAACCTCACCAAAGATGATGAGGGTTCGTGAGTTTATTTATTGCATTTGTCATATATAAATATTATATACTTAAAATAATAATATATATATTTAATTTTTTCTAACAAAATCTATTCATATGGATGCAAGCCGGGAACTAAGGAAACTTGAATCACGAGCTTCGGACTTTGACCATTTTATGGTCAAAATTGGCTTCCTCCCTGAAATCTGTTTCAAAAAGTAATCAATTTTTTTTGCAAATTTACCCTTTCTCGATTCCGTTTGTACATTTCGATTTCAATTACTGTAGATTTTCTATTAGGGTTCTTCGTTCTTCCATAGTCCAACCTTCTAGTAAGTACAAACTGCTCCGCCCTTTGAATCCATTTTTCTATGCCATTTTTGTTGAATCTAGGGTTTTGAATGAGGAATTGAAGTAATTTAAGAAGAATTGATGAACCAATTTCGTTTATTCGATCGAATTCCCGATAGTTTGGTTCAAAATTTGGGATGTTAGTGGAAGAAGATAATACCACCCCACTGCCGCCACCGCCACCTGTCGCAGCCGGAGGTGATGATCGGAAAACATATTCTCGGTCAGTTTCATGGGCTATCGCCGGCATTTCACCTGTAAAACCGAACCCAAAAATCCCCAAATCACTTTGGCTTAAGGCAAGATCATGTCTGCCACCCCTTTCGGTTTCCCGGCCAAAAGCGGACGAGTGGCCCAAGGCGGGTTCCGACGATCTCGGCATTTGGCCGAATATCGCTGCCACCCCTCGATCCGTATCCAAACCCGCCCCTCTTCCCGTAAATGTTGATCGATCCCGATTCGAATTCAAGAAAGATAAGCTTGCTTATTTCGATAAAGAATGCTCGAGAATCATCGATCACGTATTCCTCGGGAGCGATTCCGTTGCCAAGAACCGTGAGGTTCTTTGCCGAAACGGAATCACCCATGTGTTGAATTGTGTCGGGTTCGTATGCCCCGAGTATTTCAAGAAAGATTTTGTGTATAGAACACTTTGGATTCGAGATAGCCCAAATGAGGACATCACTAGTATCCTTTATGATGTTTTTGACTACTTTGAGGACGTCCGCGAGGAAAAAGGAAGGATTTTTGTTCATTGTTGCCAAGGGGTATCAAGATCATCCTCTCTGGTTATTGCATATCTAATGTGGAGTGAAGGTTGGAGTTTCGAAGAATCTTTTCGACGAGTGAAAGCGGCTCGAGGAGTCACGAATCCAAACATGGGTTTCGCTTGCCAGCTTTTGCAGTGCCAGAAACGAGTCCATGCCGTGCCGGTAAGCCCAGATTCCGCTCTAAGAATGTTCAGGATCGCTCCGTATTCGTCGTATTCCCCCCTTCATCTCGTGCCGAAACTGTTAACAGAACCTAACGCGAACGCTTTGGATTCGCGTGGAGCGTTTATTGTTCATGTGCCGAATAATGTTTACATGTGGGTCGGAAAGAGTTGTGTTTCATTGATGTTTGAAAGTGCGAGTTTAGCGGCGGCTCGGGTTATTAGATACGAAAAGGCGATTGGTCCGGTTTTGAGGATCATAGAAGGGGAAGAACCGGCGGACTTCTGGTGGGCAATCTCGAGTGTAAAAGAACACGAGATGGAAGTTCGAGGTGGTTTAGGTGAAAGGAGAGTCGTTGATTACGATCTAGACTTTGAGATTTTCGACAGAGCCACCAACGGTGGGGTGGTTCCGCCATTGGCAATCACGAGCAACCACCACGAGATGTGTTTGCCGGCGAGACAAAGTGGGTGGGAAAGATTGAGGAAAAGGTCCATCAACGGTGTCGTGAAAGAGCTCGTTACAATGGACCGTAGCCATAAAGAGTTGGAATCATCATCAGATTTGTTCTCTTTTCTCGTTAAACGATTCAAGAAAGTTGATTAACTTATATCCTTTAATCTCGCTCCTCCTAGAACGACGATGTTCGAAGAACCCGCTAAATGGGTCAAAACGGTTTGACACGAACACGAAAGAACTGAAGCAAATCTGAGCTTGCTTGCCGATAAACAACATGATTTGGATGTTCGAGTGTCGGGCGGTGTTTCTTGTGTTGGTGATGGCAGCAACGGTGGCGCCGGTGGTAGTATTAGGTGGTTAATGGTTGTTGATTGGTGGTGATTTTCTTGTTAGGTGATTTGCTGAATCTCTATGCTTATAAACATATCATGTTCTTTGGTAACTTTATTGTTTCAAGGCTTATTAGTTATAAACCCCAAATGAACCCAATAAATCCAATGAAGGATTTAGGGAGGGTAACATATACACAAACTTTTATTCCTTTTTTCTATACATTATCTATAAATCAATCATCTCAAAACAATTTATAAAGAAATAGACCGGAACCGAATGATGCTCAAACCGATTTAGGGTTAATTTGGGATCGTTCGGGCCAGACCAGTTACGGGACCATCTCGCCGATGGTCCCAACTACAAGATCGATCTAGTTTTTTATTGTTATAAAACCGTAAGGCTTGTGGCTTGGTGGTTAAAGCCAAGGTGGATGTGTTGAATATCTCATCTGCCCTAAGTTCGATTCCAGACGTGCACAACAATTGTGGTCGGCATTGAATTTATCAGAGTTACAATTTGTTGGGATTAGTCTGGACATCGCCCAAGACACCTTTCCAAAATAATATTTGCATACGATATAAATGTCCGACTATTACTTAAATACCTAATTATCTCATAGTTATGACAAATTAATGACTATTTTGTCAACAAAATGAGCGAATTATGAGAACATATCTCATACGATTATGAAACGTATTTTTTTATGGAATGCATCGATACAAGATTATGTATCCGCTTGGAAGAATGATGTGTAGTACTCAAAATGTCTATAAAATCCCTCAATAATTACGAGTAATGGGCTCTAAAAATTACGATCAATAACTAAATGTTTATTATTGTTTTAGATCAACAACTTCAAACAAGAACATTTTAATGCCTCGACTAATCTTATGGGGTTGTGAAGTTAACAACAAGACAAACCCTTCGGTTGTCTAAGAAGACTTTCACTCATAACTTATGTAGAACAACCCCAAGATCTTACTAGTTAAGCTACCCCTCGTGCCTTACGGTTATAGAGGGTTTGTGTTGTAAGCAAAGAAAGGGCATGTTTGTTAGTAGCTTAATGGGCTTAATGAGATTCACAACTTATTCGGTCAACTACACATGAATGTTTAGTAGTGGCTTACTCAATAAGCTTCCAGGAGGGAGTTTTATGCAGAAAGCTTACCAAACTTGTCCCTCCCAAACAAAAACTTTCACGGTCTATACAGACAGATTAATCCACAATGATAATTTTATCCATATAGGACTTCATGGAAAACCAAAAACAGCCCCAAAAACTAGTTTATCATGGAATGGAAAGCAAATATAACACAAAGATGATCAGGATTCCAAACTGCAAGAGCATGAGCATATATAAAACATGCATTTAGGGCAAAATTCAGTTTCAAACCAAATATTAGAGGTCAATTTCTACAGCTGAACTGAAGCTGAACCACACTTTCTTGTATCATATATATGGAACAAGATTACGATGACTTACTTTATACGTCATTTTTTGATCTTAACAACGCCATTGTTGGACCGAGTGCGCTACCTCTTAATGCTCTATATGACCATCGGTTCCACCCCGAATCCCTCTTCATCTCTTCCTTCTTCTCCAACAATTCTGCTTTTTTTGCACTTAAAACCTCATTCAGTTCATCCCACGAGTCATGTTCTTTGTTCGCCACCACTGTCCAAAAAACATAAAGGAATTGGATCTTCCACGCCCCATAATCACAAAGTTATAATCGACAACTGGTAATTATGTGTCAAGATTTTTTATACTTGCTACTGTCAATCTATCATATCTTTATATTATCTAAGGTCCCGTTTGGTTTGCTCGATTTGGTGGGATTTGGAATTGGAATCCATTCCAATTACACGATTGGTTTAAAGGGAAGTCCGGAATGGAAATCCCACAAACATGGGATTTAGAAATCCCAAGGGGTGGTTGGTATTTCGCGGGAGTTTATAGGATTTGTTTGTAACAATGTTTTAGAATATGTTACAAACACTTGTTTTATAATAATCAATTAATAAAAAGGTAATTTAATTGTTTTTATAATTTTTTTGTAAAGAGTGGAATTCAAGTCCATTCTACATTCTACAAACCAAACACATAAAAGATTCCAAATCCTTCAAAATCCTAGTCTCTTAGGGTGCGTTTTTGTATCCAGACATGCAGAATAGGACAAATGTTTAGCGTTTGGCGAGACAGAACTGGACAGTACAAATAAAATGACTAATTTACCCCTAATGAGTTGTTCATATATTTTATATATTTTGATTAATTTATGTAATTTATTACATTATAATAAAAATAATTATTTTGTATAACAAAATATACCATTACAAAGTTTTCGTCAAGACGATTAAAATGACACCAAAATAAAAAAGTTTATGTAGTTTTCAATTTTTTATGCCTTTTCTATATTATTTTATTATAATTACTATTTAATAAATTACATAAATTTATCAAAATATAGAAACCGTATAAAAATAATATTTTGAGGACAGTAAAATAAAAGTTTAAAGAGAATAAAATACAATAAATAAAATTAAAGAGGGAGGTGGATTTGATGTTTAGAAAAAAAAAAAATTGTTTTATTTTGAGGTTATATTGGTAAAATATAGGTTATATTGGTAAAATATAGGTCTATAATCTGTTCCGCCTTATTCCATGGGGTGGGGGGTGGAACATGCCTGTTGTTATAAAAGCCTTGCCATACGTGGATCCATGATCCTTGTTCTGTTTTGTCCAGTGTACCAAACGCACCCTTAAAAACATTCCATACCCCAGAACCATCATGTTTTCCCTCTAGAGATGGACCATAAAAATGCAACATACCCTTTTTTTATGGAACTTAGCAAGTTTGGTTCACAATATTTACTGTAGCAATGGTCATTTTCGACAAATGTTTCTATTAATTTTTTATTTTTGTGTAGGGTTAAACATTCTTAGCAAATATGGTTCACAGGATTTATTGTAAGGGTAACTTTACTACATTAAAGTTGTTTGTAGAGAAGTTGAGCAATATACCTGAACTTGGGTCTTTGGAGAGAGTTTCTTTGTTGTTATTTCTGTTAGATATATTGGATGCAGCATTTTTATCAGCTCCCTGAGTTTGCTGAACTCCATTATTGACTGCTTTCATAGCATCCGAGTTACTTTGCTTGACGGAACGGACGTCAACAAGAGCTTCAAATTTGATCTACACACAGAGCATGTTTTAAGTTAAGACACAAAAAATACACCTCTCATTCCTGTTGAAAGCCAATGCTCTCGGTAAGAGAAGACATTTGGAAACCTTTTGACTACCTCTAAACTTCCATCTTCTTTATAAAGAGAGTTGTCTGGCCCATCCTCATCCATCTTATCGAAAATAATGGGATATTCCGGCACCGGCATCAGAATGATGTTACTGGCATCATAGAATGATATTTTTCCAACCTGCAATGGAAGTTGATTTTAACCATAAAAGAGAAGGCACATAGCAAAGACTTCTTTGCATAACCATGGCTTCTAGTAAAAGTTGTACCCGGAAGGAAGAGAGCTCAGGGGTCCAAGAAGAAGTTAACTCCAGAAGACGGTATGCAATAACATCACCTTCCTGCAAATTGCAAGAACACTTTAGCTGAGAAAAATGATGGTAAAATCTAGAGCGTAAGTATAAATAACCATTCATACAAATACCATTAAATTACAAGAATATGAGTGTCAATTCACGTATTAATGTGTGTGCTTGCATGCGGAGAAGGAAAAAGACCTTAGGTGAGGTGCACAAAGGGAGCTTGTCAAAATCATTGAGGTCAATCACAGGTACTTCTGTGTCGGCACTCAACATTGTGGAAGGTCCTGTGTTTGCTTTTGGAGAGTCGTCCCTTCGAAAAGTTGAAGACTTCTCTAAACCCCATTTTTGACCCTTTTTCTTGCTGGTGATTCCATTCCACTGAAAAGCTACCTGAAGCAGAACTCAGCAATTGAAAGAAGAGCAATTTGAACACTTCAAAGATCGAAAGTTGAAATTATCGACTCAAATGACAACATACCTTAGACAGTCACATACTAATAGGTGTGATAGGTTTAACAGTTCTAGCTATTGATGAGAAGACCCATTCATATGATTACATCATAATACTCACCCACCAATTGGTTCGACTACAGAACTAGTTAGGAGAACACTCAAATGAACTCCGCAAGGGAGAATTAAATTTTTACAGTGAAAGTTAGGGCCATTTTGTTAGCAGCTTAATGGAACAAAGCTTATTCGGTCAGCTATACATGACTTCTTGGTAGTGGCTTAATGATATAGAAAGTGGCTTATTCAGTAAGCTTCTAGAGGGGATCTTTATGCACAAAGCCAAGTTTTTCCAAACCCACCCCTTACAATTAAAAAACACACTCGTTCTATTCTATGAAAAAACTCTCCCAAACAAAAACCATCCAAATCTATACAGACAGATTAATCCATACATGACTTGATGGAAAACCAACCAAACGGCCCCTTAATCATCAAATTCACCAACAGACTTGTGAAAACAAAAATAGTAGAAAGTTAATCAAATTGGTAGATCATCAGAACCCATGTAATAATCCCTAGTCCAGAAAGAGAAAACATAAGTAGTAAACCTATAGATGATAAGCATGGGAAACATACCTCTGGTACTTCGATCTGCTTTACATCTTCATCTGCAAGAAACAGGAAACAGTGTTAGCACTCAGAAATGACATGCAGGATAACAAGATCCCAAAAAAACTAATACTTAAGTAGTTACAACCTATAAGAACGCCGGTAGCTTCATACCGAGAAAATTTCATACAAAATAGTTGGACTTAGCAAACTACTTGGATTAAAATCTTGATGTTAATCTTTCAGAAAAGTGGCCTACTTGTACTTGACCACAGAAGTAAAAAAGTGTTTCCGTGATTATTAGTAGCAACTAGAACAAATTTACTTCACCGGCACATAGTTCGACGAGAATGTTTAATTATTGATCAAATGTATAAAACGAGACAAAATTTACTTCACCAGCACTGGTCATTTTTACGTCACCTTTTCCTCAACTCTTCCTACCATTACAAATCAGATTGTTGTTTCTGACTTTAAATAAACTCAGTATCCACCAACCCATATAACATGGAGAGATTTAAAGACTAGCCAATTAATCATAGAATGGTTGCTTTACAACTCAATTCATTTGTCATGTACTAATGCATGATGAAGTAACAATTTTCATCCTTATGAGTATTAGACATTACATACCTTCGTCAAGAGGTTCAAAGCGAATATGTCCTGGCCTGACTACACAAGGAACAAGTACAGTACCCACATTGTGATTAGAGTTTCTTTCTTCCTGTTTAATCATGTTCTTATGCACAACTTTTGTAGGCAACTGATCCTGCTTTACCTGCTAATCGACAAAAATTTATTCATTCATAAATGGATATGACATCTTAGAACTGGGGAACACGGCACATACATATCACCTAGACATTCATTTTTAAACAAAAAATTACTTACAGGTCCCTTCGGATGGCCATTAGCCTCTTTGTTGTCGACTTTGGATACTTCTGGCTCCAGATGAGTTTCAGGCTGCAAATTGAGATGGCAGGTGATGAAATACAACTGATACTGGAAGCCAGAGATGAAAAATCGAGTTCTCTAGCAGTTCATGGGAAAACCACTTCAAATAACAACTTACCGTTTGTGAAATTTTAGCAAGTTCCCGCCTCCATTGTCTCTTAGCCTTTTTCCTTCTAGCACTTCTACTGGGGACCTAGTATTCATACCAAAAAAGTTAATTGGTATCATGGCACTCATGACTGCAGTAGCTAACTTGAATTGTATAAAAAACCAACAATTTTACTTATGATTAGCCAGATAGGCAGATATTGTGTAATCAGATACTTAATTGGAGAATATCTTTCCTAGTCTATGGTCAGCAACAAGGTATTCCTAAGACAAGTGAAGTCCTCATTGCACCTACTACTATTCATATCAATCAAAGTTTTGCATCCAAGTGCAACTGAAGCCATTATTTCTACTTTTCTATCAGAACTAGCCACCAATCTTTTCAATGAAATAAAATCTCATCACAGTATATGCTTTGCTGCTTGGCAAAATGTCAATGCCAAAGTACCTAATACCAACAACTAGGAAATCTTTATGAAATACCTTTCCACAACCTAAGGCGACTCCTACATTGTTACTATCAATAACATAGATGTACATACATATGTATCTACATACACGTAAACCAGTCACGACAGCAATCTAGGAGCCTTGAGATAGCATAACAAGCAATAAATAATATATTCGTTTATTATGTAGGTAAAATGCCCTGAGGGGGCATGAGTAAGGATGAAAACAGGACCACATGAAAAATTTGAAACCCAGTTGGCCACTAGTTATGGGGCCACCCAACAAAAAGTTTTTAATTCATCTAATAAGCTGAATCAAGAAACAGAAGAATCAAAGACCTTTTTAGCCCCATCAAGTGGAGTAGATGCGTGTTCAACTCCTTCAACATTGTCTTGAAGACGCTCACTCCTATGCAACATGGACGAATGAAGAATTACTCAAACAGATAACAAGAAAGATAGTATTCCTCCTTCCACCACCCCGCCCCCCATCCCCTTGGTATTTATATCGATTTGCGATGTATAGCATTTTATCTTAGAAAAGAAACAGGACCAAGTCTAGTAAGAAATTGAAACAATAAATTATGTAACATACATGGTGATTCAAAGATTCAAGATTATGAATTACCTCTTCACATTGGAAGAAGATTTGACCTTTTCATCATTTATTTCAGCATTTCCCTTGTTAGTCTCCTCATTTGGTTTATTCTTCTTCTTGCTCATTTTCCCGGGAAGAGATTCACCATTACTAACATTGTCAATTTCATCTGTCACAACATCATCTTCGGCACAACTCACCACCCCTGAAAGGTGTTTCTTCTTCCTATGATCCACAAAAGAAAACATGAGTAACCCAAACACCCAAAGAGATTCCAAGAACAAATTTAGTAAGGAGCCTTTAAAAAGGAAAAGCACCAACCATGAAACTTAAAAATATATGCATACACAACAGCATGATTGTGAAATACCTCTTTGTTTTGGGGGAAGATTTCACCTTTACAATTATTGTTTCATCGCTCCCCTTCTCCTTGTTTGCTTTAATCTTCTTGCTGATGATTTTCATGGGAAGACATTCATCATTATTTATGTCGTCGTTTTCTGCTGCAATTTCATCTTTAACATCATTCATCACCACTGATCGATGTTTTTTGTTCCTATGATTCAAAAAAGAAGACACAAGTAACACACACACCCCAAGGAAATTCGAAGAATAAATTTAAAAAAGGACCTTTCTGAAGGAAAAGCACCAACAGTGAGAAAAGTATTTATGGATCAGATCTGGGCATGGCCCAGCAACTTCCATGTTCATGGTAGAGTTTATATTTGAACCGCTTACAATTTGCAAAGCCTCCAAACTAGGTTTCATGCAAAAGATACTTGCAATTTAAACCAACTATAGTATTTCCGAGAATCAGATGGCAGTTGGACCATACAAATGCTGCAGTGCCCTATGGTTCCTCTCATGGAATCACATGATAATTGAGCCAGCAGCAAGTAAACCTGGATTGAGCTACGTGCACCTTGATCAGCAGACACATGACCTTGCTACATTGAGAGACATCTCTGATCCATGCACAAGATTTTTCAGAATAGAAAAACTATAACTCCCTTGCTCCCAAAATTAGTTTCAAAGGCAAAAACACCAAGTTTTGACCTGAAAATCTATATCATCAATTATAATTTCAAGAAAATTTTATCTAGTTCCATATGCGTCATATAAACTTGGAACCGAACACATCACAAGCTTGAATATCAAAAGCCTAGTGCGGACTCCAATTTCAGGAAGGAGGGATAATATAAATTTACCCACAAAACATTAGGGCAACCAATGTAAACCAACACCAAGTTACCTCAGCAACATTAAGATATTTACGTTACATAAAATTGGTAAGGAATTTGGCACCCTTTATACGTTCTCTCAAATGCAGTTCCACACTTTCACCCTGTCTCTTTCGTCCTACAAATATCCTCTCGAACTGCTAATAACGCCTCCATCCCACAAAAAGAAGTGTCCATGATTTGATAAAGTCTACTAACATTTGTCAGAAGTCTTGCAATAATGACAAAGTAACTGAATCTAGTTGGCCAGGAATGCAATAAAACCAAACAAACCCAGTAAATCCCACAAAATAATGCAACATTATTTTGTAATATTACTAACAGGGCAAAGATGTAGCAATAGCTCGAAAATTTTCTAATAAAGGAAAATTCGCAATTTTCATGGACATCCCAAAATGGGAAGTGTCACAATTTCATGGGATTCAGCAGCATCTAAAACCATCTACGGTACAACGTATATTATATGATTCCACACCTAAAGTACCTTAGTGTACCATATATCTAAAACAAAAACAAAAGGTACAGTAGAGTGCATGACTTACTTTGAGCTCCGAAGTTTTGTGGAGGCTTTTCTTTTCTTGGAAAGTGTTTCTAAAGGTGAAGGTTCATCTTCCAACTTTTCCTCCTCAGCGTCTGATTCACTTTGATATCCCCCAGTTTCCTTATCAAACTCTTCATTTGCTAAAAGTAGCATGCCATTATTTATAGGTTCGTTCCTGTTGATTTCCGCCTCGTCAAGCAAATTACATGCATCTGCTGCCTCTATTGCTTCCGTCAAAGCCGCCCCTTTCCTTCTCACACTGAAGTAACAAACACGTCCACTTGTTAAACACCTAGCTACGTATTGGTCAAGAATATTAGTACGAAGTTAAAATTCAGCTGACCAAATAATTTCCTTGTCTTTCAAGATTCGAGTCGACTCAGATGGTGGCAAGACAAAGCCTTCCATCTGCAAGAGGTAACAGTTACTTATTCCAACGACTATCTATGACCGGAACGGAGTAAAAACACTAAATCATAATTCCTATCATCAATATCAGAGGTTTTCCAAAGGCCAAAAAAGCAGTAGATAAAAAAATACACACGAGAACAAAATAAATTTGCAAGGGAAGATAGTTCCTCTTGCCTTGAACGACTGAACAACATATGATGGACAGATGCACATTAGAACCAAAGGGTAGAATTGTCTTCATTCTAGTACTCTTCAAGTACTAACAAGAGAAAAAAAGCATTGTCCTTTTTAACTTCAATTTCACATTATTAAAATTACCTGACATCTGAGAAAACAGGTTTGTCTGTTGATAGCAGTTTGTAGCGAGAACAAATCAAATGCATTAACAAAGATGATTAACACTAATAAATCGAATTAAATTCCCAAGTAATGTCTTATAACCTGTTGAACTTTATAATGAGCAATACTGGTAGCACTATGTTGGTATTAAAATTGATGTCTTTAATCTTTATTCATCTCCATTTAAAAGTGCTAGGGAAGATGTAATTTCACCTCCCATATTGGTTGTGATTCTAAACTGAGCCCTTTGTAAACCATTGGTGGTAGATACTAATAGCTTCCTACCATGATTTTACCTATTTGGAGGTTATTTGGGCCCTTTGCAGCTTTCAGCTTCAACATTTACAAATGATATGCTATATTCGATTTGATTTTGTAAATTGCCTTTCGGCTTAACCCACCAATTATATCGACATGATTTTGGCTTCTGTTTAAAACTCACAGAAACATCAGTGGGAGAGTTTGTAACATCTCCCGTGTTGATTGTAGCTGTGAGCTCTTGGTAGTAGGCTAACGATAAATTGTCACCATGGTTTTTCAGTTCTTTTAAGGTTATTACACTATTTTGATATTTTGGGCTTGAATTGTTACATTAGAACTCAATAAAGGAGTTTAGCTCTTTCAGGGAAGTGACAAAATGAAACTCTGCATGCATCGGTGTTTACAACCTGTAACATTTACTTTATAATCAATATGTGCATCTATGTTTTCCCTGAAACTACCAACAACTTCAAGATTGAAACAAAAAATGGTAAGAGGTTACCTGCTGACATCGAAAAGCTAAAACAAATTAGAAAAAATGGCATCTCCTTCATTGATGTGTGATTTACAGAAAAATTAGGTTTCATACTTTTTAGCATTAACATCTATAGATTCAGGTAGACGGATGGGAAGAGAATTACATAGAGGTGGATGCCATTAGGGCACGAGCGGCGAAGGTTGAAATATTGGAGGAGATGATTGCAGACATCGGAGATTTTCCGATGCTGTTGTGGTTCTATTAAAAGCCAGCTTCGATTCATCCCATCCGATCGCTGTGCTTCACTAAGAATCGAACGATCTTCGAACAGCAAACGAAGCCTTACCGACTGCCTCTCCATTTGTACCACTTTATACACTAGATAGAGTGTGTTCCAATGACAAATTGAGAGAGAAGAGAGAGGGAACCGCCGTGCGCCACCGCTCTAAAACCTCACCAACATAAACCCCTGTTTCAGAGGTGATGAATAATGCCTTCCAATTCCAAATACCTTACAATGTCGCTACGACGTCGTGTGGTTTCATCAATGATGTATAAACATGTATAGGTGGACAGCAACCTGTGTTGGAGTCACAAAGTTGATAGGTTTGAAAACATTTTAACAACTCAATTTAGGAGGTGTTTGGAATTGCTTGTAAAAACTGTTTTTTAATTTATTTCAGTCTGGTATCAGTGATAAGCTGTTTTCTGGTGTTTTGATAAGAAAAAGGAAAAAACTGCTTATATCGGTGTCAAACCGGTAATAAGTTGTTTTTGATAAGTTAATCCTTCCACGGTATATAATACGTAACTTAATATCTCATCGTCGGATTGTTTGTGATTTTGATATCCTCTCCCCTAATGACGTTGTATGGAAACACGTAACTCTGTTTTGGGGTTCTGATTCAAGTTTGGGATATGGATCATATTCTTCAACAATGACTTCCCTTCGATTTGACCCAAATTCTCGATTGTTTGGTTTGAAGATTACGAGAATTACAGAAAACCACTCCATCATAAAGCGCTTTTCGTTCACGTCGTCAAAACCGTCGTCGTCCCTTCTCAGTCGTGACTCATGTCTATCTTCCTGTATTGTTTTCACAAATTCATTATTCGATTTCGGTGTTGGATTGTACTGTTCAGTCCTCGTTATTTCCAAAAAAAGGATCCATTTCTTGTTTCCTTTTAACCAGGATCAACAGAATTCTGTAGCATTTGGGGAGTTATAAGCATATTGTGGAGAAATATTAATAAAAGTTCACAAAAAAAGAGTCGAAATATTTTCAATTTGCTTCATTTTGGCATGAAGGTGTAAATATTCCGAGCTTTTAACAAGCTACTCGAGCTCATTTATCTCGAGCTTAATAATTATCAAGCTCGAGTCGATACACAAAATAGAACTCGACAACTTATCGAGTCGAGCTTCTTAACATCAATGTTTGACTCCGCTTGTTTAAAACCTTGATTAAAATTTTCAAGTCGAGCTGAACCATTCGAGCAAACGCTTTTTCAAGCCAAATATGCTCGTATATTCAAAAAGTATACAATATAAAATATAAAAATTATTGAACTCTAGCTGATAAATGAGTTAGTCGATCGCGAGCCTGAGCCCTGCTTTAAATAAGTTGTTCGAGCTCAAGTAGAGCTCGAGCCTGGTACAATTTTTTCGAGCCGAACTCGAATAATCTACAACTCGACTTGGCTCGTTTACACCCCTATTTGGGTCCCTCTATTAATCAGTTGGGTAAAAAAAACACCTGTATTATTGAAAAAGACACAACACATAACATGATGCCGATCCCCTTACATTTGTTCTCAAAATCCAGCAACACAACAAAAGACGAACACAGAAATTGCAATACATTAATTCTCGAACGAAACAAACTATTCGATTGAAGGAAAATAACTAACTCGAGTTATGAAAGTTCAGAAAGCAACATAACAACTCCCTTGTGCATTAAGCCGTATGTTAACATCCAGAAATACGTTCAATAACCCCTGCATACGTCAAGTAAAGCTTGTCAGATAGCAGAAAACATATTAAAGCCTTGCAGGGTCTTGCTTGCATTTACATAAGATAACAAAAATAATCGGAAAATGTCACGGGAATATGGTGCTCAACTCTTAAGGTTGTGCAGGGTAAACGGCTAAACAGACACCTAAGGACACATGACTTAGGGCTTGTTTGTTAGCAGCTAATTAAGCTTAATGGGACTTGCAACTCATTCGGACAACTATACATGACTATTTGGTAGTGGCATAATGATAGAGAGAATGGCTTATTCAATAAGCTTCTAGGGGGAAGCTTTATGCAGAAAGCCAAAAAAATTCTGAACCTGCCCTCGCAATTAAAAATATGTTCATTCCATCTATGAAAAAACTCTCCCAGACCAAAACCTTCCAATCTATTCAGACAGATTAATGTACACAAACATCATTGACCATACATGGCTTAATGGAAAACCAACCAAACAGCCCCTTAGCCACCACCAAATGGGGGGGGGGGGGGGGAGGGGGGTTTGCTGTATTTGTATTTGCTAGCAAGATTTCCACCACATATGATATGATCATTGTTATTCTTATTTCGGTTGTTAGAACCCCACATCGGGTAGACTTTCACCATTTCTACTCGATAGATGTTGGAAGGGCTCTTTTAGATTGTAATCTAATGGGGTTCCATGTATTCTAAAAAGGTTGTTAATAAAGTGTTCTTATCTAAAGCCTCTTCTCATGCTATCCCATCATCCTTAGTGTGTGACAGTAATCTTTAACATCTCCCTGTCTACCACCAACATTATACCCCTAATGAATATCACTGCCATCAGTGCTTATCACTATTTAGTGTTCATTAGAAACTTAGATTAATCAAGCAACACTTATTCCTCTATCCATATTTAGGGTAATTCTTTATGGAACCTGGAGAGGATTTAACCACCCCTGCAAAATCACAGGTTCATGGCGCTGAGCCACTGAGCCTTAACTAAAACATAGCAGCCTTGATGCTTAAAAGACACATTTTTGCATGCTTGGTTTCCTGCAAATGAAACCAAACAACCCCAAAGGGATAGAGTGGCTGTTTTTCCGTGAAGACCCCCGGCTTGTGCAAAAATGTGAGCAAAAAGAAGAGAAGAGGAAAAAGAAGAAAGAAAGCAGGGAGAAATAAACAAACAAATAAAAAAAAGGAGCAAATGCAAAAAGGCATAACAAAACATATAGAAACTAAGAAAACACACACAACCCTCCATCTACAGACGGACCCTGAAACCTTGTCTTCCAACTCCCTAACCTCCACATGCCCCACCACCAAATTCACTAACTCCCTTCTTCATATCCACACTAGGTCTAGGTTGCTACAGTCACTCTACTACCCTAGTCTTACATTTGCAAGAACTCCTATCATAGATCATGCCTCAGAAATGTCTAAGCATGTCCTGTCCATCCTCAACTGCTACCATGTTCTCCTTGCCCCACCCCTTTTCCTTGTATAATATCAGGTGCCTACCCCTTCGGCATGTTGTGTAATATCGATCTGGTTATGTAGCATACTCCATATTTATCAGGTACTCGATTCCTATAATTCCTTACAAATTCATTGAATACTTGAAGGATGAAGTGCAAATTGTGTATGGTATTAAGTGATGGTTCATGGGATAATAAGATCTGTTCAAAAGTATAAGGTTCTCCCTCTCCATGCACGCAATCGCATATGCAAAAATTTCACAATAGCACATAGAAGTTCCTTCCATGTTAGTGAGCTTGAAATAATAATACTCATCTGAACTTGGTATCCAATAGTGCTAACTTTCTATAGAGCTCTATTGGGATTTACTTTCAAGGTCTTCACATCAGGTTGGTTGTCTAAACTCTATCACTCGAGTCTACATAATGTTTCTGGTTTCAGATTTCTAATCAGATTTCCTTGGGACTATAAAAGTTTGATGCATCTATGTATAATATAAGAAAGAAAGAAAATCCATAAGTATGCTCCAGCACATATCTACATTGACAATGTCTTCCCCAGATTAAAGAGAAGATAATGTCACTAAATCCTTCTGTATATTAACTTGCGTGTGCCGTGGGAGTATTTGCTTTTGGTTTGAATAAAATTTGATTCATTAACTCTTCAGGTTGTCTATCTTCAACCTTGTATAGATATGAAACATGCCTCCAGAAATCAACAGGCTAAGGTGTATAGTATAATATCATGCTAATTTCTTCCTGAGATTGATGAAATGGCTGTTCAGCTGATAGCAAGGGTAAGGAATCGAACAGGCAGTTCAAACCCTTAAGCGAGTTCAATCAGTTTCCTCCATTGAAAAATTAAAAGCAAATTCTGCTCTCATGTATACTGTTCATCTAAGAATCGCCTAAAATCTAGAATCGCAAACATTTAAGTTTACCATCTTGCAGCAACATAAACCAAAAGCAAAAAATCTGTTCATAAGCCATGTGATTCTAACAGCATGTCAATGACCCCCCTCTCACGGTTAAAGAAGTGAAATTAAACAATTACCTACACACGTAATGCATAAAACGTAAACCAATTAGAACCGCATCATTATACCTGACTTTTCTAACGAGAATCGACTTGAGCTTACGAGCTAGGTCCTGCGATTTAAGCCTACGCTGAAGATTCTTTCGAGCCAAAATTCGTTTCTCTGAGTTCTTGATGTGATATAACTGTTCGTTCTTAATCATCCGTTCGATACCACTTGATTGCATTATCCTCTGCATAAAAGTTAGTCCTTGATCCAAATTGTTGTTCAGAATCTTCACCCGGATGCCCCGCCATTGCTGTAAATCAAAGCTCCGATGATTTAATCCGACGTTTGGTCGTGCGAAGATGGACGAGAAGCTTCTGGTTATGGAGTTCATCGCTAGGGTTTGGGTTTTGGGGAATTTTGCTGTACGATGAAAATTGAAATCATAAGGAGTTAATTACGGCTTTGGTCCCCGTGGGTTAGTGATTGTTACAAAATTGGTCCCTAAACTTTATTTATTAAGTAAGAAGCGCATGTTTGTAACGATTTGGTCTCAAACCCTAACGCCCATCCAAACTCTCCTTCCTAAAAGGATTGTCGTCATTTTATGTTTTTTTTTTTATCGTTTTCCTCATAAATTTTTTTTATTAAATATTAGAGTAAATTACCTTTTTTGTCCTTTAGTTTGTTAAAAATTATGGGTTTTGTTCCTGTGGTTTTGAAATTGTGGATTTTGTTACTGTTGTTTACAAATTGCGATTTACGTTCTTATGGTTTGCAATTCAGTTTTTATTTCATCTATGAGGTTTAAGGGTGTTCATCGTTGAAATCTAACGTGTTTAGATGGATATGATCGATCCAATCATTCAATGGATGTTGAATTTTGTCATTCGATCCAATCCAGTGTAATCTGATGTAATCTGACGCATGGTTGATGCAAAATTAGACCAAAACGCATATGTTGGGTTGAAATTGGGTTGGGGTAGTTTGAACTTAACCCAACCTGATGAACTTGATCCCTTTTCTATATTACGGATTTAATGTGGGTGTCAAATCATTGATTAATATATGTACTTTAGACATAAGACCACCCCTTGGTTAGCTATATTACGGATCTAATGTGGGTTTTGACAACTTTTACAGAAGAAAAAAACTAAACAAACCGAACCTCGATCGATCTATATTTTTATAAATCATATATGTTTTGGAGTAAAAGTTCAATTATAGCACATAATGTTTGAAAATTTTCAACAAATCTCGTCATTAAACTGGAAAAAAAACTTAGATTTGGTCTCTCATGTTTGTTATATCCCAAAGTTTTTGGTTTTTTTGTTTGACGGTCGTTAACTTTTTCAGTTAAGTCCAGTTAAAACAAGAATATTTTAGTAATTTTCACTATTTTCTTAATTTTTTATTAAAATTAAAAACAAATACTACATTTTTTATTTTACATTGTAAAACATAAAAGAAGAGGAAAAGGTTAACCACCACCTCTCATTTTCTTTACGATTTAAAATTAAAATATAATATGTTTTTATTTAAATGTAATAAAATAGTAAAAATGACTAAAATACCATTCATTTAACTGGACTTAACGGCAAAAGTCAATGCCGTTAGATAGAGGGACCAAAACTATTAAGACATCCATAAGCAACATTTCCTAAGCACGATATTTGGGTAGAGTGAGTCGCATGCATGCATTATCAACACTGGGTAAACCCAAATTTTTTATGCTACCGTACTAAACCTGTAAATACCGCATGAAAGCAGGGGTGCGGTAAGATGTACACATACCTAATTCCTACGTCAAAAAGCAAAGCAACAAAATTTTTATGTTACGATCATTTGAGAAGAAGTTTGTTATCAAGGGCCTTGGCTCATCGGTACTCGCCTACTCGGATTATTGTTAGAGTATAGCCACCCAATAAGTTAAGAGTTCAAACCTCATTGAAGTTGAACAGGGTGCTTGAATATTTACCATATACAAGTACGATATTTGTCCCTGTGATCTGTTAATAATTTCGGTTTCCGTCCCTAACGTTTGTAAATAGCTATTTGTGTCCTTATAGTTTGCAACTTATTGTTGTTTTCGTTTTCTAGACTAATTCCTATCTTAAAGTATAAGGGACCAAAATAATACATAATTTAAATCATAGGAAGTGAACCAAAATATATATTGTAAATCATACGGATGAAAATATTAATAAATTATAAATTACATGGATAAAAACTGTAATTTCTAAATCACAAAAACAAAAATCATAACTTTTAATAAACCGTAGGATTAAAAACCGAAATTTATAGATAAAATAAAAAGTTGTCATCAAGTGTTTGTTTGATTCAAAATGAGGTTGTGTTTGGGGCAAGTAATTGGTTGGGAATGTTTGCCATTTGGTGAATTTATGTTTCCATGAAATTGTCAATTATGGTAGACTCCATGAGTTCAGTTTATCAAAAGCCTATCTAGATAAGGGTTTACGAAATCACATTACTTTACCGGATAAGTATGGTAAAAACCAAGAATCTTATCCGATAAGAACGAGAAAAAACCAAAAATATTATCCGGTAAGTGACGGCGACGACTCTTGCCACGGTAAGCTCTTACCGGATAAATTGTTGCATACGATGTCGTTTTGATTGACTAAGATTTTACCCGGTAAGTAACTGATAGTGTTAGATTTACCGGATAAGTGTTTGTAGATGACCCCTTTTTTGATTGCTTTCACTTTTTAACAAACCCTTGTGTTTAGAACAACCCATTTCCAACTTTTGAAAATACTGTCGATGTATGAGACTCTGTACAACTTGACTTATTAGATACAGTTTTACGTTGTGTTCTCGAGTTTCTTTTACGAAGGAACAAAGAGAAAGGGAAGGAAAGTTGGAGGGGAAGAAAAAAATACGCGTTCTCGAGTTCTTTTAAGGACGTAAAGAAAAATAATGTTGATTTTTTCCCACAAAACTTTCCACACATACGTGGGAAGAAAGAGGAGGGAATAAAGGGAAAAAAATTATAAAAATGAAAAATATTTATAAAATTACATATATACCCACTAATTACATTCAAACATAAAACGAATAAGGGTAAAATTGTAAAAATGACATATTTTCTTCCATTTTTATCTTAAAAACATGAATTTTTTTTCCTTCTATTCCCTTTATTTTTCCTTAATCTCTGTAACACAGATAAAGTTTTTTTTTGTTTATTTCCTTCCCTTTGTTTTATTTTATTTTATTCCAGAATTAGAGAACACAATGTTAAATTTAACAGACAGATAAACTCTTTAATGACCTTAAGAAGAACTGTTTCCATTTTCAATTTTGCTGCCAGAGAACCAAAACCGCATTCGACGGAATATTTAATTCATCAACATCTTTGTATGGTGTTCGAATTTATAGTTTAAAGATCATACAAAGACAACCGCGTAATTTCAAACCGACTTTTTGATCATGACACGAGCGTTGATCATCTTAAAAGATTTAGTCTATAAAACCGATGAAATGCAATTGAGTCTCGTTCTTTTACAAACTCAATAATTTATAAAAGCTTACAAAATCAGTTTTCATACATGAAAAAGTACAGTGTTTTATACACTATAGTTGTGTATGTAAAATGTTTAGAATAATTTGTAAAATGTATATTCTTGTATGTTTTACATATGAAACAACACCGTATAAATACCGGAATTTCACATGTATTATTAACAACACATGAAAACTGATTTATAAGTTTGTATAAATTATGTTGGTCGTTTAAAAATACTGGATAATAAATAACCCACAATAATACTTAACTTATGAAATGATTCAATCTAATTCATATGACCACATCTGGATGGCCTATTTACTTATTTATATTTTGTTTTATTTATTACCGTTTGATTGGTTCACAGTTAAAAGCAGTACAATTTAAAGTTGAGACCTATCCAAATCGATTGATATAAATGGAAAAAAAAACCTCTTAAAAGTAAAATCATTCTATTTATGGAGAATTCAACTGATAATAGGATTTGGTTATATAACAGTAATTTTTTTCGTAAAAGTAAGAGCAAGATGATATTTTTTAATTTTTTTTAATATTTTAAATTAAAAAATAAAACAGTATTCGAGGATTCTTTTTCCAGCTGATCTAAAAACTACAGATCGTTCTTAAAGAAGATATTTCCTTGCAATTAAAATGGACTGGACATGTGAATAAATTGAATCAAAAAGTGATAAATAATATCTCTACGGCTGACGATCTTTCCTCGGAGGTCATTAGTTTGAGCTCTGCCAGGTCATAATTAAAAAAGATTAGTCGAAGTACGGACAAGTTGACCTTAACACCAGTAGTTAAAAAAAAGATTACAGAATAATATGAATTTTTTTATTTTTACTGATAAATTTATATGTTTATTAATCATATCTTTAAAAATAAAATTAATGATTGTAATATTTTATATTCAATATACAATTATGGTACATAAATTTTTGTTTCATTATAAATATTTCAAATATTTAATTACCATTAATCATAAAACTCTCAAAAATAATTTCATTTGGAAATTTTAAATCCTTAATTTTGATATTTAAAAATAAAATACAGCATTTGTTGGATATATTATTTAATTAGAATATTAAATTACCACAAAATATTAAAAAAAAGTATTTAATTAGTATTAATTATTGATTATTTAGAAGAAAAGAAAGACTAGTTAGGTACCATAGATAAAGGCTGTTCCTTGTCAATTATTTTATATTATTGATATTCAATGAATTGTTTTAAATATATTATAAAATATTAAAATTTATTAATTTTTAATCATGAATTTTTTGGTTATTTTACAATTTTCAATTAATTTATTAGCTAGTTTTTGCCAAACATACTTACTTTAGTTGACTCATCAGCTACCAACTAGATTATCAGTCGTCAGCTAGCTTATTAACTAGTTTGCTAAACATAGCCTTCAAGTCGCATTTCAAGATACTAGCTTATGTGCATCCGACGTACACGACCAGACTGACCTAGTGGATAAATCATAAATACATAAACAAAAAAGACAATTGGACCAGATAATGTGATTGCATTATAAGATCACAATTGAACAGATGGAGCAAGTTCAAATCAACGTAACATGAAACCTACGAGTCCAAAAGCACCTTGAAGAACAACAAAAGTCCATAAACAACCTAATTGGCACCAACGAGTAAAATCTCATCGTGCTTTAAGATCCTATAATAATAATATTAAACTATTAGCAATAGTAGAAACTGGATGGTTAAAGAAACTCCATACTGCATTTGCAATAAGTGTGTAAGAGGTGACGTGTTTATTATTTTACAGAACGATGACAATAAAAAAAAAGGAAGTACCATCGAGAGGCGTGACGATAAGAATTGAATACAAAGCGGTTTTTTATGACGTCCCCACCACTGACGAACCCAATGTGTTCCACCGACGACAGTGACTCGTCGCCGGAGAAGTTAAACACAACGCCGGATTCAATCCGACAAAAGAGTCTTCCAAACATCTCAATACACTGGTCCTATCACGCCGATAAACCCTCCAATTCTTTCCCAGACGTTTTCTTTGTATTTATCCCCATCACTTTCAGCTTTCTTCGTTATAAATTCACCAAATTCTCATTATTCCAATCTTCAATCGTGACGCCATGAATAAACTTATCTTCTTCTTCATCTTCTGGTTTTCCTATGGAAGGTGCTTCTTTTATCTCTTTCATGGTTTTCAAGCTTTAACAGTTAACATCTTTGCTATTTGATGTAATTTTTGTATTAAATGATTGTAAAATAGAGATACCCTTTTCTTGAATTTGATTGATTTCAAATGGGTTTCCAAAAATATGGATTCAGCTGAACAGTGTTGCTGATTTTATAAAAAAAATCACTAGTTTTGACTTTCAAAAGTTAAAGCTAGATTTGCAGAATCTTTCAAGATCAAAGGTCAAACTTTAAATGCTTGATTGGATAATTATTGTATGTTCATATATAAATATATATATATTGATTTCAAATGGGTTTGCTTTTGTTTTGAGTCATATGGATTCAGCTGAATAGTGTTGCTGATAATTATAATGAATCACTAGTTTTGACTTTCAAAAGTCAAAATTAGATTTGCAGATATCTTTCAAGATCAAAGGTCAAACTTTAGATGTTTGCTTGGATGATTATTATTTGTTATATATATTTTGATTTTTCAGGGTGTTATCAGAAATCCATGCTAGCTTACCACCAAGAGGTTGGAATTCATATGATTCCTTTTGTTGGACCATTTCTGAAGATGAATTCCTGCAGAATGCTCAACTTGTTTCCCAGAAACTACATGCTCATGGCTATGAGGTTTTAACTTCTGCTCTGTTCTGTTCATAAAGATTGCTACTTTTTCCATATTTGCCCATTGCCATCTTCAAAAGAAGTGGATTTGATCTTGATGTAGGATTCATTACATTGCCACTATTGAAGGGTATTTTAGATATTTGATGATAGATTGTTGAACACTTCTGAACATGTTTTCTTGAATCCATCTTACAATTTCAAGAATCATTACTGCTCCTTTCTGCTCATTAAGATTTGTACTTTTACCATATTTGCCCATTGCCATCTTCAAAAGAAGTGGATGATGTTGATGTGGGATTCATTACATTGCCACTATTGAAGGGTATTTTAGATATTTGATGATAGATTGCTGAACACTTCTCTGAAGATATATTCTTGAATTCAACTTACAATTTCAAGAGTCAGTCACTGTTGTTAGCTATTTCACCCTTCTGCCATAAAGATTTGTACTTTTTCCATTTTTGCCCATTGTCATCTTCAAAAGAAGTGGATGATCTTGATGTGGGCTTCATTACGTTGCCATTATTATAGGTTATTTTAGATATTTGATGATAGATGTTTGAACACTACTCTTCCCTTCTGAGTTCTGCCCATGCAAATTGCTACTTTTCCAAATTTGCCCATTGTCATTCTGTAAAAAAATGTGGATGATCTTGATGTGGGCTTCATTACATTGCTACTATTAAAGGGTATTTTAGATATTTGATTATAGATGGTTGAACACTTCTCCAAACATATTTTCTTGAATTCAACTTACAATTTCAAGAATCAGTCATTGTTTTTAGCCACTCCTCCCTTCTGAGTTCTGCGCATAAAAGTTGCTACTTTTCCATATTTTCCCCTTGTCATCTTCAAAAGAGGTGTATGCTGTTAATATGGGTTTCATTACATTGCCCCTATCAAAGGGTATTTTAGGTATTTGATAGATGGTTGATCACTTCACCGAACATATATTCTTGAATTCCACATACAATTTCAAGAATTAGTTGTTATTGAAACTCTTTCCTTTTGTGATTTCTTGGTTTTGTTTCAGTATGCAGTGGTGGATTACCTTTGGTACAGAAAGTTAGTCCCAGGTGCTTATGTTGATTCGCTTGGGTTCGATGTGATTGATGAATGGGGGAGGGTGATTCCGGACCCTGGTCGGTGGCCTTCATCGAAAGGCGGCAAAGGGTTCACCGAAGTAGCCAAGAAAGTTCACGACATGGGTTTGAAGTTCGGATTCCATATAATGAGAGGCATAAGCACACAAGCTGTCAATGCAAACACCCCAATCTTAGACATCACAACGGTATTTTCTTCTCACAATCTGATAAGCTTGTTGTTGGGTAATAAGCTAGTTGTTGTTAGCTGATAAGCTGGAGGATAATGTAAAAGTGAAAGTACCCCTTAAGCTTATAGAAACGTTACTTGAAGCAACTTTTCAAAATTATAGCTAATCAAATGGGGCTTTTCCAATAAGCTAAAAGAATAAGCTATGGTTGCCAAACAGGCTTGTGGTTTGTTTGTTAGCAACTTAATGAGCTTAATGGGACTCCCAGTTTATTCGGTCAGCTATACATGACTGCTTGGTAGTGGATTAATGATATAGAAAGTGGCTTATTCGGTAAGCTTCTAGGGGGAGCTTTATGCAGCAGAAAGCCATGTTTTTTCCGAACCTGCTCCTCCAAATTAAAACACACGCTTCTTCCATTTGTGGAAAAGCCCCTCCCAAACAAAAATCTTCCCGATCTATATAGATAGATTAATCCACACAAACAACTTTATCCATTTAGGACCTAATGAAAAACCAACCAAACAACCCCTTAAGCTCATAAGGCTCATCTTTTGTGGATCAGGGTAAAGCGTATGTGGAGTCGGGAAAGGTTTGGCATGCAAAAGATATCGGGATAAAAGAGAGGGCTTGCGGGTGGATGAAAAATGGTTTCATGAGTGTCGACACTTCACTTGGAGCCGGAAGAGCGTTTTTGAGGTCTCTTCATCATCAATATGCCGAATGGAATGTAGATTTTGGTAATTTTTTGTCCCATTTGTAGCTTTTGCATAGAATCCGATACGTACAACTTTCAAACTAGAATTACTTATTTACCCTTTGTTATACCAGTAAAACATGATTGTGTGTTTGGCGAAGATTTGGATCTAAATGAGATAGAGACTGTTTCAGAGGTATGCGGATTGATCACCCGTTATTTCAGATATTTAGTTTTGATGGTATTTGGGGGTTAACGAATAAAAAGCGCAGATCTTGAAGGAACTTGATCGCCCGATTCTTTATTCGCTTTCACCCGGAACTAGTGTCACACCGGCCATGGCTAAGCAAGTGGCTCCCCTCGTTAACATGTATAGAGTAACAGGAGACGATTGGGATAACTGGGGAGACGTTGCTGCCCATTTTGACGTTTCGAGGTATCTATAGACCTTACTTCCGAGTAGGATATACCGGTTATTTAGAAGAATAACCTTCTGGCATATTCTTTTTAAATGCACGACTTTTTGACAGATTTTAAGGCATTCTTATGTTAAAAATAGACGTTCTTTTGTTAGGTGCGTTTGGCATCCAGACAAAACAACTTTTCAGCGTTTAGTAAGACATAATTGGATAGGATAGGACAAATAAAATGACCAATGTACCCCTAATGAGTTGTTTATATATTTTGATTAATTTATGTAATTTATTAGATTATAATAAAATAAATGTTTTTATAACAAAAATCAAAATAAAAAAGTTTATGTTATTTTCCAAATTTTATTTTATATCTTTTCTATATTTTTTATTATTAATATTTAATAAATTACATAAATCAATCAAAATATAGAAACCTTATAAAAATAATATTTTGAGGACGGTAAAAGAAAAGTTTAAAGAGCATAAAATACAATAAATAAAATTTAGAATGAATAAAATGTAAAGAGGAAGGCGTATTTGATGTGTTAGAAAAGGATTATGTTTTATTTTGAGCCCAAGGTTTCCACCTTGTTCCATGGGGTGGGGGTGGAACACGCCTTTTCCACTCTGTTGTATTTTGAGGTTATATTGGTAAAATATAGTTTTGTTTCACCTTGTTCCATGGAGTGTGGGTGGAACACGCTTGTTCCACTCTGTTCTACTCTGTTCCACATAAAAGTACCCGTTGCACCCTTAGGCTGAGACGTTCCTTAAATCTGTCAGAAGATCTTATTTAGGAGAATAACCTTCCGACATGTTTTTTTTAAATGCACGACCTTCAGACGGATTTTGAGGCATTTTGTGTTCGGAAAAGACGGTTTTCTATTAGGCATTGATTTATAATGCAACATCTCAAGAAGTTTTAAAGAACTTAAACCGAAGGTTTGGACTTTGAATCGTATTAGTTTTAATGAATCTTGAAAATCTTCTTGTTTTTTAGAGATTTTGCAGCTGCTAGTATGGTAGGAGCCAAAGGTTTGTTGGGAAACTCGTGGCCCGATCTGGATATGCTTCCACTCGGGTGGCTTACGGACCCAGGTGAGCGTTTGTTCTCGGTTCGACCGTTTTTTCAAGTATTTCATTATTCGATGATTTTGAAATGGAAAACCGCTACTTGTTAATAGGATCCAATGAAGGTCCACACCGGATGTCGAAACTTAGTCTAGACGAACAAAAGACTCAAGTAGGTCGATTTTGTGCATTCTTTAGAGATACCCGAATCAAATTCTTTCGGGTTTTCTTTGATTTCAATCTTCTTTTGACTTTTTGCGGTTTACAGATGACTTTATGGTCTATGGCTCGATCTCCGTTGATGTTCGGTGGAGATATGAGAAAGCTCGACGATGCCACATATGGACTCATCACCAATCCAACTCTATTGGAAATCAACTCTTTTAGCTCAAATAATAAGGAGGCAAGTTCTATTTCGATTACCGTTCTATTAAAACGTCAAAGAAAGAAGTCAACTTTTGATTTTTTCGAACTCAAATAAACCTAGAGAACTCTGTGTTTTTGCTTCCAATTTTTTCATATGATTCCAATGATGTATGTAGTTGTAGCGTTTTGTTTGGAAAGAAAGGGTTCGTGTCGATTTTGGAGTTGAACGGTAAACTGTTTGACTCTTGAAAGTCAAACTTTTTCTAACAATGGTGTTTTATTGCTTACAGTTTCCTTATATAACAAGCACAACGGACCTCCGGTTCTTGGAGCAAGGTTCGAACTTTCAAACAAGAAGTTTAAAAGAGGCGGGTTCATCGGAAAAACTTGTTTTAGGGTTCTCGAGTTGTCATGATTCCCAGGCCAAAGGTTGGTATAAGGATCTTGAACGGGTTTGTTGGCGATGGCATTCAAGAAGCGAAAAGGTCGAACCTTTTTGTTTATACAAGACAGAACCTCTTCTGCAATCGTAATTTTCTAAACGTTTTTGATGCGTAAAGAAATCTTTTCGTGTAAAGATTGAAACTTTGTGAATGGGAACTTAGTTTTTTCGGTTTGTTTTAGGGATGAGGGTGTTGCATACAGCGGGAAATATCAAGGAAAATTTCACCTACGTGCGAGAAATAGAGCTGGGTTTTGCTTCGATACTTCATCAAAACGGAGACTTACTTCGAAAGAGCGTAAAAGAGCATCGTTTTCACCTTGCAGACTGGATACCAATCAGGTACGGTTGTATTTTAGTCGAGGGCCCGAGCCTGGCTCGAGCTAGGCCTAAGCTTGGTTCTTGTGGGCTCGGGTCGGGTTGTTTAAGATTGGGCCTTGGCTTGTATGGTTATGCAAATCTTTTGTATTGGAAAAACACGAGCATGATTTGATTTTTATTTGCGTTTAGATGTGGGAGCTAAGCAACAATGGAACGCTCGTGAACGGTTATTCGGGTTCGTGTGCTTCTATCAAAGCAACGAAAGCCGATGCCAGTCCCGGAGGAATTCGATCGTGGATTGCAACCGGAAAGAAAGGTAAAGGCTTAGTTTCATGGTTGGGGGGTCCGACCCCTGGAGCAACCATTGAGGTTGCTCGTTCGTGGCTCAAACAAGACACGAGTTTTGTCTGCAAGTTCCTTTGTAAAATGCAAAGGAACTGCTGCTGACAAACTTGGTAGCCACCGAGGGTTTTCGTGGTTGTTATTGCAAAAAACTCACGTAAAAACGTGAAAGTTTTGCAAAAACGAGCAGTATGGAGTCAAAAGAACGTTGGACTTGATGTTTTTGTATACTTTTCTCGCTCTTGCAAAGTATATGCGTTTTTTCTCGATATTTTTGCATGAATGGTATGCAACACTACAACAAATTGGCTTTATAGGGTGCCTAGAATGTTGAAGCGTCCTAATAGAATACTTTATGTAACTTAATTTTATATGACCAAACTATAAAAGTTCTTATCTAAAAGTGTTACAATAGGTTTACAGGACGTTTTTGGGCGTTTTAACAAGTTTTTTAGGACACTTTCAAAATAAAGTGTCGTATTAGCCATCTTATATGACATTTTTGAGAAGTGTCCTATAAACTTTTTACAGGACACTTTTTCAGATCGTGTTGTATAAAATAGCTACTATGACACTTTTTCTAAAAGCGTTCTAAAAAACTCGTTGAAATGTCTAAAAACGTCCTGTAAATCTATTGTAATATTGTTAGGTAAGACGTTTTTTGGTTTGGCTTTTGAACTCCACTGATCATTTGCATGTTGTAATGTTTTAGGTGAGATTTATCTTTCCTATTTCAACTTGAATCCCGCAAGAACGGTTATTTCCACGACCTTATCGAATCTCTCAAAAGCGTTTCCGACCATCAATTTCCGCTCGTGTTCATGCAAAGAGGTTTGGAGCGGTAAAGATTACGGATCGTTACAACATTCTCTCTCGGTGTCCGTAGATTCGCATGGTTGCGCCCTTTTCGTCTTGACTTGCACTTAATCCCGTGGGAAAACACGCTCACGTTCCTTTTATGTGGGATTTACTGGTTTCGTTTGATTTAGTTCAATTTGCAATGTCCTTAAAATATATAATGCAATTTTTTTTATTAACCTGGATATTTAACTCGCTATGCTTTGCGGGTAGTCCAAAGTTACCGCATTTTAACATCTGTGGTCACAAGGAGATTTTTATTCCCCTTTGAATTTGAACATTCGACCTCAAAGCACTTTTAACCTTCGAAACTCAAGTTCAAACCAATCAGGAACTACCCACGTGATTTTTAATCCAATTTATATTGTCTAAAATAATTTATAAATTTGATAGTTAACAAACATTTTTATTAGAATATCTAACAAATAGATATTATATTTAGGTTGAGTTTAATATATTATTAATATTTAATAAATTACATAAATTAATTAAATATAGAAACCGTATCAAAATAATATTCTGAAAACAGTAAAGTGACAATTTAAAGAGTATTAAAATGCAATAAATAAGATTTAAAGAACGAATAAAATGTAAACAGAGAGACGTATTTGATGTTTTAAAATAAAATTAAGTTTTATTTTGAGGTTATTTTGTTAAAATGTTAGGGGTTATTTGTCTACTCTTAATAATTCCATTAAGAGACAAACCTCTAAATTGTTAAAATGTTTGTCTCTTAATGGTTCTAAAATCTTTTGAATCATTTTGTATATTGGGTCCCCCTTGACTATTCAGCGCCCTAATTATATTGTAAACAATTACCGAACAATTATATTTGATTTTGCATTGTATCATGAGAGCCTCTTAATCATTCTGCACCAAACTATTCAACAACTGTTAAACCGGCGTCTTAGTCTGTTTCATGTTGTTCCATGATGTTAGGGTAAAACTAGCCTATTCTACATATAAATACCGCCAAACATGAAACAATGATTTATATTGTCTACAATATAGGGGTATAAACGAGTCGAGCCAAATAACAGGTTATTCGAGCTCGGCTCGAAAAAATAATACCGGAGTCGAACTCTATTTACTTTTCAAAGTCAAGCTCGCGTTCAAGCTCAAATACTTTTCAAAGTTCGGGCTTGAGCTCGATGCTCGCTTATGAGCTCGAGTTCGAGATTGTTTAACTCGTTTATTTACTTAAGCTCGATGATTATTTTGATTATATAATTTGTAAACATATAAACATTTTTAGCTCAGGAAAATATATATTCGAATAATTTGGCTCGTCTCAGCTCGACTCACAAAGTTTAATCGAGCTTTCGAACGAGTCGAATCGAACCGAACATTAATGTTATGAAGCTCGACTTGATGTTATAAAGTTCGACCCGTTAAGTTAAACAAACTTCATATTTTATTCGATATCGACTCGAACTCGATAATAATTAAACTCGAACTCGAAAAAACGGAATTCAAGCTCAAGTAACTGGTTAAAAGGTTTGTGGCCATTTATGGTAATTGAAGGATGAGTGTGGATATTCATTGAACCCCACTGGTTATGGTTTGACTTATGAAGGCATTAAAAGCATTATTTTAGAGGCTACATTTATTATTGATTAATAAATATCGCTTGGGACCAAAAAGGAAGACAAAAGGTCTTTTTATAATCTTGAAACACTTTTTGATTCTTGAGGGCCGTTTTTGTAAATAATATAAAATAGACCAACACCTTTTATCACAATACTATTACTAAATTGTTTAATTACAACAATGGCCATTATACAATGTCATTGTTCGACTTCAGTCCCTTTCTATATATAAAAAAATATATATATGATATGGTATTGCTTGCATTTCGATTTTACTTATTTTAACAAGGATTTTGTACAATTAAGGTATGAGATGGCGTTTGCAACTAAGGGGCTGTTTGACGGTTGCTGAATCGTTTAATACAAAATGATTAAGAGGCTCTCATGATATAGTGCAAAATAAAATATAATTGTTTGGTAATTGTTTATAATGAAATTAGAGCGCCAAATGGTTAAGGGAGACCCAGAATATAAAATTATTCAGAGGGTTTTAAAACCATTAAAAGACAATTTTTTTTTGTCAAACAAGATTCACCTCGTAATGATTCAGATGCTGTTTTATTAAGAGACAACATCTGAATCGTGCCACTAAAATGAGTGATTTACTACAAACAAGGATGACAAAAGACGACAACCTCCATTAATCTCTACGATCGTGTAACTATCGGTGCCAATTGAACCCTCGTTTTCATTTTCAACATTTTCTGTATTTATAATATCTCCAGTCCTCCCACCCCCTGCATCAAGACGGGTACGATGATCATTTTCCTTTGCATTTGTTCATGTATCTCGTTTACATAAATTATAATAACACATATTTCATTTAATAAATCACTATGAAACTGTAGAAAGCTACAAATTTGTATTGTTCTAAAATGTTCATTGTCGTGACTCAGAGTCATGGCCTAGTGTATGGTTTTTGTAACGTGATATTTGATTTTTCTTATTCTTTTAATATATTATTTGTTGGTTTTTAATATATAACTTAATTTAAATTGCTTAATATCATTGACTCGTTGAGTTATAAGCCACGACTTAAAAAACGATATGACTTGTAAGGCTTGAGAGTTGACATTGTTGTCATCACGTCATTTTGAACCTTGCGAATTTATCATGAGGGGTCAAAATGGAATATAAGTTAATGTACAAGGACTAGAAGTGTAACTTATAAAAAAATATTGCCTCCTGTTGCTTAGCGTCGTTGCTTTACTGCTTTTCACACACTAATCTCTGTACCCACGTCTGACAAATAAAAAATTACCACGTCAGTGAGATTACCTACTTCGCACGCCCACTCTCACACGTGCATACACAAATCATCTAACGGCTGCGTTCAAATAGAAAACTTCATCCATTGGTTCGTTTGGTTCACGCGCTTATCACGAGCGTGATGGATCACTCCTCCCAACCTCCCTCTTTCTCTCTCTTCTACCACTTTCTCTCTCTAAAAACTCCGAAAACCGCATATTTTAGCAAACATAGCTGTTGTAGATTATTCCTTTTTCACCACCATCGCCACCGCCACAACACAACTCCGCCGTACGCCGGAGGTTTAGTTTTTCTTACGATAACACATCAAGTTGCTGATAAATCGTGAATCTGTGTCTACTAGTCTGTTTGTCTTGAGATCTGGAAGATCTATAATGTCGAAGATATGGGGGAATATCGGCGCCTGGGCGGCGGAAGCGGAGCGTGCGGAAGCCGAAGAGAAAGAACAAGAGGCCGCTGCGGCGGCGGCAGCCGCGGCTGCTCCACCGCAGAGTTACCCGAGCTTGAAAGAGGCGGTGAACACTAACAGAGGGAAGAAAAAAACGAAGATGTCGTTACAGGAGTTCACGATGGGCGGAGCTGGAGGTATCGGCGGTGGAGGTTCGCGTCGTGACTTGGCTTTCGAGCACAAAGGATTGACTTCTGAAGAGATGATGCGGCTTCCGACCGGGCCGAAAGAGCGGTCTGCAGAGGAGATGCAATACGGGAGGCTAGGAGGTGGTTTCTCGTCGTATGGAGGTGGTCGGTCTGGCGGAGGGCCAAGGATGAGGGATAGAGATGCGGATGGTGACGGTTCATGGGGGAGTAATCGGAGATCTTACGGTGGATTTGATGATGATCGTAGAGGTCCTTCTCGGGTTTCAGAATACGATCAACCATCTAGGGCGGATGAGGTTGATAATTGGGCAATGGCGAAGAAACCTATGGCACCTTCATTCGATGCTGGTAGTAGACCTAACCGTTACACTTCTATTGGTGGAGGCGGCGGTCTTAGCGCAGGAGGAGGGGGATTTTCTAGGGCTGATGAGATTGACAATTGGGCAGTGAACAAGAAGCCTATACCCCCTGCTAGATCTTCTAACTTTGGTTCTGGTTTTCGTGATTCTGGAGGGCCTGAACCTGACCGTTGGAGTAGGGGAGTTGTCCCTCGCGATGACAACCAGGAACGGCTAATAGAGCGCCGCCGTTTGGTATTAGCTCCACCTACGGGTGAAAGTTCTCCGATTGAGCCCGTGGTCAAGACTAATAAACCAAATCCTTTTGGGGGTGCTAGGCCGAGGGAAGAGATATTGGCTGAGAAAGGTTTGGATTGGAAGAAAGCTGATTTAGAACTTGAAGCTAAGAAAATTAGTAGTCGTCCTACAAGCTCTCATTCTAACAGCAGGCCCGGAAGCGCACAGTCCGGCAGGCCCGGAAGCGCACAGTCCGGCAGGCCAGGCAGCGCACAGTCTGGTAGGTCAGCAGAGGGCTCAGCTGCATTGCAGGGATTGGAGAAGCCGAGGCCTAAGGTGAATCCTTTTGGCGATGCTAAGCCTAGGGAGGTTTTGCTTCAAGAGAAAGGTGTTGATTATCGGAAGATTGATTTAGAGCTGGAGCGGCGGCGCCTTGGCAGGTTATGGTCCTATATTTTATCTTTTGCCGACACTTCTAGTTAACGACCTTTGACAGTGTGAAATTGGTATTCGTTGGCGCACTGAGCAACTATGCTAAATACATGGCTGCTAATCTTTCTCCTTGAGCACCTCAATATCTGTTTTTGCAAGCCATTGTTGTGGCTGAGGCTTTAAGTTGAAGTTGTGAAGATTTGTGATTACTAAGCAGGTTATTGTCTTAACAAAGACTAGTTTGGTAGACCCATTTGAACTGTGATTCTTGTTCATCACAAAATTATGGGCCACTGGATTCCATCTTCTTTCCAGTTTCCATTTCTTCCGTTATGCCTGATTCTCAGTTTCTCACTCAACCTCTAGACATGATTCAAACACTAAAGTACATGTTAGAATGACGAGCATTTATAGACAAATAATCACCTACATGTGGGAAATTTAGCTTAGGTTTGTGGTCATTATGAAAGTATATGAATTGCACCTGCCTAGTTCGAGCCTATCATGAAACCATCTTATATTATTCCACATAAATGAATTGTTGTTACAGCTAGCGCCTTACAAGCAGCTCTGGAGTTTGTATCAGTTCTATGCTTTGTTTGTTCTTTATCATGTCTGGAAAGATGGTAAAGTTCTTTCAGTCTGGTGCTATGCACCTATAGGCGTGATGTTGTGATGCAATATTGGGAACTTTCAGAATATAGTGCTCTGGGAAATGGTAAATCCTCTGATACTGTGATATACTTGGCCGAATGACCACTAGGGATAAAAGGCTAGTTACTTAGGCAAGGAAACTTGTTCACTGAAATGCTGAAGTCTTCAGACTTGACAGAGAAATTTTGATAGAGTTCCAGTTGACGGGTAGATGAACCGTAGGCTATTTGATTTTTGTAGAGTGCTGTCACTGTTACTGGTAGAACTTACTCAAAGGCAAGGAACACAAGTGTGAGAAGTAAGGATTGCTTAGGTTCATAGCTGCTCTGGATACAATGTATTTGCAGAAGTTGATTAAATACTTTTTGAGCACCTGGAAGGAGGCTCATGCCAATAAGCTCTGTTTATGCAGGATAGATGGTTAATTCCTTTTTTTTTTGTTTTAGTCCACCAACAAGGAAATACAATTGATCTTTAATAGGCTGCTAGTAAGCTCTGTTTATGCAAATGTTGCTTCAATGTGTTTCATTATAGGATTTCTTAAAGTTGGTTTGTTCATATGTACTTTATTTATGCTTTTGGTTTTACTTCTTCCTTAAATTCGGTGTAGATTATGCTCGTCAGTTTGTCCACCTTTATCTGAGGTGAGGGTTTCCGCGTGTGAAGTAGTAGCTTAAAAAATGGCTTTTTTATTCCATATAAGCTCTATATGTGAGGGGCTTGATTAACACTTTCACACATACTCTCGGGTTGGGTTTTATTTCTGTGGAGGCCTCACATAGCTTTACCCAAAATAATTCATTCAACAAAATGATTTTTCATTCTAGGTAGATTTTGCTGCATAAGTGATAAATGTGCATTTGATATTGCATCCATTGTCAAATTGTTTAAGTAAATTCTACTTTTTCTGATTCTTGGTTCCTTTTTATTCAATTTATTTTCTTCTGTTCTTTATTGCATGTGTATGTGTAGATTGATCAGTTTTAAGGTTGAGGCTCTTGATTACAGACCTAGAACCTATAATAGACTGGGTTTAGCTTAGGTTAAAATATTACATCTTATTCTAAACATACATGCTTTCAGCTTAGATATGTTATATTTTATTCAACTTCTTGGAACTTGCTGGAATATATAGTGGTTTCTTTGGAGGGGGGTGTTTTAAGTATTTTTCGTGTGAAAGTTTTTGTCTTTATTTACATGAAGGGTGAACTATTTTCAAGTCCTGGGGAAAGCCTGGGATCACCAGTATCCAGAAAAAAACTATATTTATGTACATGTTGAGGATGACAGTAGTATCGTCTTTTTCTAAATGTTAACTGATTTTAAGTCATTCTAGTGGAAGGAAGGACTGCTAGAATAGTAGAATGTCGTAAGTCTTGTATGTAGTTCGATAGGGTAGCTTTACGTGTCTGAATGTAACCAGGTCACAGTGAGGAGTTGCCTTAGCATCTTCAACAATATAGCCTTTTATCCCAACCGGTTGGAATAGACTACATAAGAAATCCAACAAAAAGTAAAAGATGGAAGAAACAATCAAGGCTTTGGAATATGTTTTCCACACTCTCCCATCTAAAGCCAATTCCTTTCCACCATGTTAGCCTTGGCTCTTTTTTCTCCTCTAGCATGCATTTTCTTGAAACAAGTCGTTTGTTTTCAATGGTGCATCCAAAGATATTCACCGGAGATGACCAACCCATCTCAAATGTTGTTTCACGAGTTTCTCTTCAATCGGATCAACCCTAGTTTTGACCTTAATATCCTCATTTATAACCATTCTTGTGTTGTCTGCACACACACCAAGTTAAAATTGACAACTACAAAGCTTGCTCTTTCTAGAGACTAGAGTTAGTTCTAATGTAATAGTTTTTGAGTCTAGTAAGCTATAAGATATTGATAATTCATGTAGCCATTAGGTAGGAACTATTTTTACTTCTTAGATTACTATTAAAGTTCAGACCACTAGTAAAAAAATAGTATAATTGTATATTTTCCCACCTTTTTCCTTTCAACCTAAACGGTTAGTTTATTTGGGCTACTTCCAAAAAACATGATTTTATAATTTGGATTGGTTAAATGACGAACCTTTACTACACAAAGATCTATTAAAGAGAGCTTATTAATATCATTTAACTTGCAGTTTGTGACTTGTTAGTTTTGTCAAGATTATATAAATCTTAAAAAAGCATGTTTCTTTTGGTTGTCACTTGGTGCAGTTTAATGTTGTGCAATCTCCATTGAAGAACTTACTGAAATTATTCTGACCCTTCTTTTTATTTAGTGAATGTTCTCTTTTTCTCCATCTTTCCTTGACACTTATATTTATTCGGAGCAGATCTTAATATTATGTAATCTCCGTTGAAGAAAGAAATTACCGAAAGCACTGTGATCCCTCTTTTTTCTGGTAGAGAGAGAATGTTATATTTTCTTGAAACTTGTATTTACTCTGAGCAGAGCTTAATATTATATAATCTCCACTGAAGAAATAAATTACCGAAAGCACTGTGATCCCTCCTTTTTCGATAGAGAGAGAATGTTATCTTTTCTTGAAACTTGTATTTACTTGTTTTTATAGAAGATAATGTAGATGGTTAAAAATCAGTGGATGTTGATTTTCAGGCCTGAGACAGAGGCAGAAAAGAATTTGAAAGAAGAAATAGAGAATTTGAAAAGGGAAGTTGAGAAAGAAAATGAGAACAGGTTACATGATAGAATAGTTGAGAAAGAAAGGGAACTGGAACAGTTGAGCCATGATCTTGATGATAAAGTTCGGTTTGGTCAAAAAAGTGTCGAAAGGCCAGGTTCTGGTGCTGGAAGAGTTGGGGGGACTGGGTTTCTTCAAGAAAGACCACCTTCTTCGCAATCTGGATCGTTTGATGAATCGAGAAGTGTTGACTTTTCAGAGAGGCCTCGGTCCCGTGGTGATTCTTGGATGAGAGGTGGTGGTGATGAGAGAAGAGGAGGTTTTGGTGGTGGAAGTGGAAAGGATAGAGGATTTATGGGAAACAGAGATTTTGGCAGGTATGTTTTTGCTTCTTTCTTCTTCTAATCCTATTATTACTGGTGAAAATCGGTGTGCAATATAAATGATATAGGCAAGATGATGCAAATTGGGGCTTTGGCATCATCTGTTCCAAAATCCCACGTCCAACCAATAAAATTTAGAAACATTAGATTTTTATTTATTTTAAATTCAGTAGTTCATGTTCACATTCTCTTTGATTATGTGTGTTCATGTGATTGGTGGACATGTGAGAGATTGGGACAAAAAGATATAAATTACACACTTAGGGGTTGTTTGGTTGGTTTTCCATTAAGGGACTTTTCGTTAGCAGCTTAGTGAGCTTAATAGGATTCACAGGTTATTCGGTCGGCTATACATGACTATTTGGTAGTGGCTGACTTATTCAGTAAGCTTCTTCGGGGAGCTTTATGCAAAAAATCAAGTTTTTTGCAATCCTGTCTCTCCTAATTAAAAAACATGTTCATTCCATCTATGAGAAAACCCTCCAAAACAAAACCCTTCTCAATCTATACATATAGATTAATATCCACACGGACAGCTTTATCCATACAGGACCTTAATGGAAAACCAACTAAACAATACCCAAGTCTTGTATGTATGGATAAAGTTGGTTGTGTGGATTAATCTGTCTGTATAAATTGGGAATGTTTTTGTTTGGAAGGGTTTCTAATAAACCAAAATGAGCGTGTTTTTTAATTGGGAGGAACATATTTGGAAAACACTTGGCTTTTTGCATAAAGCTCTCCTTAGAAGCTTTTTGAATAAGCCACTACCAAACAATCATGCCTAGGCAACCAAATAAGGTGTGTGTCCCATTAAGCTGCTAACAATCAGACTCGTAGCATATTGAAAAAACATGTGTAGGAGCATATGTATGAAATGTGGGTTGTTTTGGTTGGATGGCAGGTCTAACTCAAGGGAGAGATGGTGACAAAGTAGAAGAGAAGAATAATATAATTTTTTTGGGAGGAGAATGAGGATGGTGAAGAAGAAGAAGAAGGGGGTAGAAATGTGAATTCATAACCCAATTGTTGGCTTGGTTGTGTAAAAGCTTCTCTTGGTCTAAAAAGGAGCCAAAAACACTCTTAATTTTGATTTGTACATCACTTGTTTTTGTGGATCATTCAATTTTAACTCTGCTTCTTTGTTTCTTAAATCTACAATTGGGCTTGAAATTAAATGTTCCCCGTTTGATGTGTCTGTTTTGATTAGAATGCACGTAGGCTCGCCGTTAGTCGATTTAACATTGTTTTAACTTTATTATTCTTGCATCGAAATGTTACTAGTATTTAATGTATTTTGATTAACATATATTTGTTTCACAATGTGAAATTTTCGTTTCACAAAAATGTCAAAAAGTTACACATTGTGAGTCGAATATATGTGAAACAAATGTATGTTGATTACTACAATAAATTTTAGATAAAGATGAAAAAATCATGTGACACAATGTATTATTTATTGGTTCTCGAAGATTTCATGAATTAATTAGAGACTTTATAAAAAGACACCTACCAACATCATGAAGACTAAAACATTGAAGTTTTAGAGTTTATATTTGAGAAAAGTTAAAAAACACATAAATTTAAATGATTAAGTTCTTGAACTATTTTTTTGAATAAAATATTATTAAATTTTTTTAATTTGAATTATTAAGCCCTGAACTATAATTTTTGAATGAAAAAAAATCATTAAGCTTTTTCATTTTGAATGAAAAACATTAAGTTTTCTCATTTTGAATAATTGAGTTCTTGAACATTGTTTTCAATAAATTAAGTCATCGAACTTTTAAAAATTGGTTATCTATATCTTTTTGACCCAAATAAGCTCTCCATGCAACTGGTTATATTTTGATTCTCCCTCTTGTGATATACTAGATAAAAAAAAAAGGAGATTGATGGCAGAGACCAACAGCGTGTTAGACGATATGTATAATGTATAACGTTGGGGGCAATGGAGAGTGACACCATTGTTTGCGAGGGGTTTTAATGTTTGTGAACGGCAAAACCGAATTAGGTTTATTTTTACTTTACAACTTTCCTAGTAAATTACAGGTAGCTTATTTTTTTTTATAAATAAATGTACGTAATCAATTTTTAGAAGTTTGATGGTTTATTTATTCAAAAAAATGTTTAGGAACTTAATCATTAAAAATGAGAAAAATTAATGATTTTTTCATTCAAAAAAATAATTCATAGACTTAATCATTTAAAATGAGAAAATTTAATAATTTTTTATTAAATAAATAGTTTAGAGAATTAATCATTTAAAAAGAGTTAGTTTGTTGAGATTTTTTAAACTTTTTCGTTCATATTTTGGCATTTATTTTGAAATTGACAAAATAACATTTTATGATGCTTTAGAGTTTATGCTTTACAGTTTATCTTTTAAAATCGAATTTCTGTGCCTACTAATTTATAAGTGCGACTCTAACAGAATATTTATAATAGAGATTTTGAGGATAAATTGCGTAATATAAGAGAAATTAATTACATCATAATTAAAGATTGTACCGTTATTGATATACCAAATCAAGAGAAACAGTTGCCGAGATCTCAGATCCGACCTTAATACGTTTGCGTCCAGGTGTTCGTTAAAAATCCCAAGTGGGAACTTCACTTAATTCGTCCTACAAACTACTCCATCAATGGACTGGAGACAAATCGCCAATCTGATCAGAGAAGGGAGTTATCGAGGATTGACAAGAACAACTCAATCAGTCGCAATTGGAGTTCTCTTAATCGCTACATTCTCTATTTTCATGGTGGTTAGACTTAAAGGAGGGAGAATCTCAAATTACGATCTTCAATCAAGTTCTTGTCAATTTCCAGCCATCTACAACTTTGGTGATTCGAATTCAGACACAGGAGCTGTATCTGCTGTATTTGGTTCTGTTCTTCCTCCAAATGGGATGACCTATTTTCATAAACCTTCTGGCAGGTACTCTGATGGCCGCCTAATCATTGATTTCATAGGTAATACAAATGCAAATAACCTACTTGAATGATTAAATTTTAGGTCTTTCTGTTAGTTTTTCAATATTGGCAGAAAAATTGTTTGAATTGGGTATCGGAGTAACAAAAGGTTTGAGTTGATCCGGGTTGGTTTGTTTGGTCTCCATGTGGGGTTGATAGGAAACTCCAGTTTTGGTTGAATTTGGAGAAGTGAATCAAATCTTCACAAAGAGATTCATAGGGTTCAATTTAGTTAGAAACCTTTCCTCTTTCTGTTGATTGAGAATTGTTGGTGATTGGGTGCGATCATACCAGCACTAATACACCAGAACCATCAGAACTCCGCAGCTAAGAATTGTTGGTGATTTTAGTATCATCAAGCATTTTGGTGTAATTGTGATTTAGAAGAGGTGGACTAGGTGACGATACTAACATAATATGAGTTAGGAGGTGCGGAATGTACACTCACAAATGTTGTCTTTTATCACCTTAGATCGCCATGAGATGAGGGTCAAGACTCAAGAAGGTTGTGCCCCTTGCGGGGTCTTAAGGGGCAACGCCCCTGGGGTGGTCCCAAACATTCCGAGTGAAATTCAGAGGTTAGAAACTTGGTATTTTAGAGACCAAGTTTGGAATCAGAAGTTCCGGAGTCTGCATCAGAAGCTTCTGATGGAGAAGGGTTCTGACTCGAGCCTCAGAGCCTAGCCTCTGAGCTTCTGAGGGGCTGTGTAGTTGGTTTTCCATTAAGTCATGTATGGATAAAGATGTCTTTGTGCATTAATCTGTCTGTATAGATTGAAAAAGTTTTTGTTTGAGAAGGTTTTTTCATAGATGGAATGAGCATGTTTTTCAATTGAGAGGAATCTAAAACTTGGCTTTTTGCATAAAGCTCCCCCCTTGAAGCTTACTAATTGAACCACTTTCAATATCACTAAGACACTACCAAACAATCATGTATAGTTGACCGAATAATCTGTGAGTCACATTAAGCTCATTAAGCTGCAAACAAACAGGCCCCAAGTCAGCCTCTGATCCGGTTCAACCTTATCCCCAAATAGTTTTAAGTTTTAACTGTTAGGCAGTAATTTCCTAACCGCTTAACTACAATGTAACCGTTGATCTCTCATATAAATATATAAAACACTATATCTAGGGTGTCATGCACTCGAATTTTTCTGCCTTGAAGATGATTGATTCTTGGATTATCCCAATACTGATTTCGTGAAACCTAAGGCACTGTAGGGTCGAAATATAGTATTAGGAAAGTGCTATTAATACACGATCCAAGAAATTATCCAAGATATTGTAACCACAAAGTCCAGATTCTCAACAAGAATCTTGTTCAACTAATTCTAATCTATGAACCAAGCTTAAAGTTGAGGTTTACCATACTTAAATGCGTATCTAGATTGAGTCAACATTGCTTTACTTAATCTCCATGTGGGTTTGATACAAAGATCCATTTTTTCTTGAAATTATGGTTGGATTTCGAGTTTACTTTTTAGAAAGTTAATCAAATCGATATAAAGAGATTCAAAATCTTGAACTTGTTGAATTCAATTAGAAATATAACCAAGTTTCTGTCTTTCGGTAACCTTATTCCAGTTCTGAATGTGGGTTTGAATTTGTGAACCAATATCTGCAGCTGAAAGGTTAGGTTTACCATACTTAAGTGCATTTCTGGACTCAATTGGATCAAATTTTCGACACGGGGCTAATTTTGCAGCCAGTGGATGTACCATTCAGCCTGCGGACTCTTTGATGCTAAACCGGACTTTTAACCCTCTTACGCTTGATATACAGCTCTTGCAGTTTGAACAATTCAAGAAACGGTCTTCTGAATTGTATCTTGAAGGTAGACATAATTCTAAGCATTCTTTTTAGAGTAGTTTTTGTTAATGCCCCAAGCCCAAAGCAACAAGCTGACCCAATAACTTTGAATCCAACTTAAAACTATGGTAGAAGTTATTGGTAGCCCACAACTTTGAGCTTATAGGATGTGTTTGGTACATAGACATAACAGAACAAAGAACAAAGATCATTGTTCCACGTTTTGCACGACCTGTATGTGGAACAAACAAGAATAGAGTGGAACATGGATGTTTCATCCCCACCCCATGGAACAAGGTGGAATAGAACTATATTTTACCAATATAACCTCAAAATAAAACCTAATTCTCATCTAAAACATCAAATATGCCTCCTTCTTTACATTTTATTCATTCTTAAATTTTATTTGGTGTCATTTTAATCTTCTCGACGTAAACTTTTTAATGATATATTTGTTATAGAAAAAATTTATCATATCATAATTTAATAAATTACATAAATTAATCAAAATATAAACGACTCATAGGGGTTAATTGGTTATTTTATTTGTTCTGTCCTGTCCAGTTTTGCCTTACCAAACGGTGAACATCAGTTCTGTCTGGATACCAAACACACCCATAAGGAGTTCACAAATCTACTTTTCTGTCCATGTGAGTGAGATTGTTACACTTTTGGTAAAAAATGGAATCTTGATGATGTTCTTTCATGCATTTTATGTGGGTCCCGTTTAGGACCGGAGAAAAGTTTTGATATTAAAGATCGTCTGCCACGACCTGCGGATTTTACTCGGGCCCTTTACACGTTTGATATAGGACAGAATGATCTTCATGCCGGGATTATATCAATGAAGGAAGAACAGGTGAAGACATATATCCCTACCATAATCAATGAGTTTGCTTCTGTTGTTGAGGTATTGCAACTTCAGTCTTTACATGCCTATTGCACGTCCTTTTAGGTTATTTTACATTGTCATCTAACTTATCAGCTAATTCTTTTTTACCAAGCATCTCCAACAGATTCTCCAAAATTTCTCCAAAATGGAGAATCAAAACTTAGAATCTTTGAAAAAATTATATTCAACTCCAACAAATTATCTATTTTGGAGATTACAACATTAGTTCGATTATTAAAATATTTTATACAAGTAATAAAATATTATTTCTCTCATAAACATTTAATATTAAGGTTTCTTATCGGTGAAAATAAATAAAAAATTGTCTCTCATGGTTATCATTTTTGGAGAGATCTCCAAATTTAAAGAATCACTCTCTCTCTCTCTCTCTCTCTCTCTCTCTCCATTTTGGAGAATCTGATGGAGCAAAATTTTGCCCAAAATCTTCATTTTCTTCATTTTGGAGAACCTATTGGAGATGCTCTAAGTTTTTTCCATTTTGGAGAATCTATTGGAAGTGCTCTTAAAACATCTCCAACAGATTCTCCAAAATGGAGAATCAAAAGTCAAAGTCTTCAAAGAAAATTTATGTTCATCTTCAACAACTTCTCCGTTTTGGCGATTACAATATGAATTATACTATTAAAATATTCGATACCTTTTATAAAATATTATTTCTCTATCCTGTACATTTGATTTCAAGGATTCTCATTGGTAGGAAGAATAAAATAGAATACATCTGTAATCATTTTTAGAGAGTTCCAAAATTTGGTGAATTTCACCCTCTCTCTCCTACTTTCTCTATTTTGGAGAAGGTTTTGAGGAAACTGTTAAAAATCTCCATTTTGGAGAATCTGTTGGAGATTCTCTTGGTTGACATTTTAGCTAAATTTTATGCTTTTGTAACAGAAACTTTACCAAGGAGGAGCAAGAAGATTTTGGATTCATAATACTGGTCCGATCGGATGCCTACCTTTTTTTGTCCATAACTATCCACCATCGCCGGACAACACAGACCAAGTTGGGTGTGTGAAATCATACAACAAAATAGCGCAAGAATTCAATAAACGGCTCCAAGATAAGGTGTTGCAACTTGGAACAAAACTTCAAGAAACGTCGTTCGTGTATGTCGACATTTTCTCAGTCAAGTATTCTCTCATTAGTGAAGCAAACAAGCTTGGTAAGCAACTGTTTTTATCTTCATACAACAAGATGTTTCTTGATGCTAAATCCTTGAAAATTTATCCTTAGGAATTTAAGGACCGTGGGTCCCATTTTAGGATGTCGGTCCCATGTGGGACCCACAATCTTTGCTGAAATTTTTTATAGCCCTTTATATGAGGGAAATTGACAAAATAGTCAATCTCGTTAACTAGATTTACTTTTTAGCCACTTTTGACTTTGAATTCCCATTTTAGTCAAAGTTTACGCAAATGTCTTACTTATTTGTACAAGGCCTTTTTTCAGATTAAAAAAAGAAAAAGAAAAAAAATCTTTATGCAAATGGGGATCCTTAAGAAAATTATGCATTTGCATAATCTTTTTTCTTTTTTTAATCTGAAAGTAGGATTTACGTAAATGCGTAAGGTATTTGCGTAAATTCTAGCTAAAACGAGAATTTGATTGAAAAAATGGCTAAAAAGTGAATTTGGTTGAGAAGATCGACTATTTTGGTCAATTTCCTATTATATAACCATAAGAGCATCTCCCCCAGACTCTTTAAAATGAAAGATTTATGAGTTTTCCTTATTTTTTCTCGAATAGATCCTCCAAAATTTTCTCCGAGATGGAGAAAGTGGGAGAGAGGATAAATATCTCCAAGATTAAATGCTGAAGTGAGAGAAATGGGTTTTTATTTTCTATTTTTCTCACTACCAAAGTTGAATGTAATTTTTATTGATATTTTAATTTTTGCTTCTTGGTTTTGGAGAAATTATAGAAAATCGGTTGGAGATGTTCTAAAATGATTAGTTTTTCAAGGATAAAATGGTCAAATGCATCTCCACATGCATCTTCCAACGTTCAAGATTTCGACAACCCTACTGATCTATTCGAACCCTAATCTTTTTGCAGGGTTCACCGATCCTCTAGGGCAATGCGTAGCGCAAGATGGTTCGGTATGTGCGAATCCCTTAGAATATATTAGCTGGGACGGAATACATTATACAGAAGCGGCTAACAAATGGATCGTTAATCGTCTTGAAGATGGTTCCGTATGTTCTCCAAAGATTCCCCTCACAAAAGCTTGTCAAACTCTCACGGACGTCCGTCAATAACATTTCAGGAAACTGTATATGGAAATTTGGTAGGAAAACAGTTGTCAAAAATGGTTAAAATGTACGTTTTTTTGTATCTAAATCTTTTTTTATAAATGGTGCCAACCATTTTCTTTAAGTCCGATACCGGTTAAGAAAAGCCCAAGGACCCTTCGATGATCCCGGTGAGAAGTATATGAAAAAGTGGTGAAAGTATCCATATGTTATGTGAATGTCACAAAAGGTTGTGACGTTGTGGTGGAATATCTCATCTGTCTATGGGGTCCAATTTCAGGCATACACAACAATTATAACCACTGAATCTATCAAACTGATTTCTCACAGTCACAATTTGTCGGGTTTAGGCGTGAGGCACCCTTCTAAAAATAAAGGTACATGACCTGAACCCTTTGATTAATTTCAAAAACAACATTCGACTCTGCTGGGGATCGAACCCAGAATCTCTGGTTTCGTAGACCAGCGCCTTATCCATTGGGCCACAGAGTCATTTTTGTTATTTACATCAACTTTTAATTATTTTACTGGTAGTTAGTAAATTATCGGGCAAATTCCATGAAAAAGTAACGTACTTTAACTTGAATCCTATTATGGGTAATGTATTTTCAAAATTCCATTTTGGTACCTAAGATGAAATTTTTTAAACATTTAAGTATCCGGGTAACCGGTTGGAGTTATTATGCTGATGTGGCGAGTGATGTAGTATCCAAGTCAACATTATTTGTTGATGTGGTTAGTGGCATGGATTTTTTAATCTAAAATTAGTCTTTTTTAATTTAAAATTAGTCTTCAATAGGTTATCCGGGGTACTTAAATGTTTAAAGTTTTATATCTTAGGTATCAAAATCTAAGTTTTGAAAAGTACGTTACCCAAAATAGAAATCATGTTAAAGTACGTTACTTTTTCATGCAATTTACCCTATAAAATACTAATCATATTGATCTTAATTAACATTTTTTTAAAAATTTATAGTTACTGAAATTATTTTGAATAAACAATTAATTGTGTAATCAATTTAATGTTGTATTTAAACTAGGGAAAGAAAAGTTTGATGTTGTAGCAACTAGCAACCATCCAATATGGTATTAATTGTGTAAATTAAATTGGTATCATTTTAATTGATATCAATTATAGTTGGTTGATAGTACCGTAATAAGTATACAAATTTGGTTGGTACATTATATTAAAAGTTGCATTTTTATGTATTGAATATAGAAATATTAACGTTAATGATTTTATTTGAAATTTTGAATGTTTGCAAGTTTTATTTTTTTCAATTATAAATCCTTAAAAACATCTAATGCTTTGTCTAAAAACTCAAAATGTCACACAAAATTTGAACAAAATGACAAATTTGCATATACAGAACTTGAAAGTGGTACAAAACCAGTACCAACATGTATGAACTGAAAAAAATGATACCATTTAAGTTGGTATCAAGTACAATTGATTGATATATAATATAAGATTTTACATATCAATTATAATTAGTTGATACATAATATTTAAGAAAAAAACTTAGATATTATACCAAGTCCATCCTCGTAAGAAGGAAATTCAAATAACATGTAAAAAGAGAATTGAGTTATCTAAACATGTAAAAAGAGAATTGAGTTATCTATATATATATATATAGAGAGAGAGAGATATATGACGTTTCAAATGCAATTCATGACATTTGTACAACCAATGCAACCCAATTAATTGAGATATTTATGGAAACGATGAGAGTTCATTTATTCTGATTTGAATATTTATGGAAGATGATTAAAGTTTATTAATTATGATCAATATTTTATATTAAGAAACGATCAATATTTTATAAAATCACATATTCATCAAATTAAATGGATGGTTGAGATTGAGTTGTATTGATTGTACAAATATAAAGGGTTACATAATAACTCACCCCTCTCTCTCTCTCTCTCTCTCTATATATATATATATATAGGTACCTTTTCATTAATTTGTATATAAATGATATCTAATGACAATAAAAATGACCGTTTTATCATTTCATCAAACTTTTAATATCTAAAAGTTATCAAATAAAAAACAACTTACATATTTTACGTAAAGTTTTCACATTGAACTACAAGGGTGATGTTTGATTGGTTTGAGTTTGGGCTCCAAAAGTCAAAAGTGTCTGAAGGTCTCAGGTTCAAATCCAAGGAGAAATAAAAATTATCTTGTGGCCACGGAGGTTCAAATAACTGTGACTCTAGACTACCCGTAAAACAGGTGGTCCTTTGAGATTAGTTTGGCTCGCATAACAAGTTTGATATCCAGGTTAATAAAAAAAAGGTTTACACATTGATTATATATGTAATATAATTTAATCCACTAATGGTTTGTACTGTAGCTTCCCGATTGGGTTTTTTCCAATTCAAAGTTTATTTTTTATATATTGACTATAAAAAGTATAAACCACACAAATGATGATTCCCGATTGGTTTAAGCTTAGACTTCAAAGGTCAAAAGTGTTTAGAAGTCTCATGTTTGAATTCAAGGGAGAATAAAAAAATTCTCGTATGACTACAGAAGTTCAAATACGGTGACTTCGTAACATAGTTTAATTCGCAACAGAAAAAGCGATGTCGTTTTCCTCAAATCTAATTGGGATATTTGTTATGATGCATAGTTCATTAGTTTGGTAGCCAAGAGCACATTCAATGATGTGGTCTTTTTCTTGTTAAAAGACATAAATAGCCCTTAATCTTTCTTCACTTTTCATTTCTTTACCCTTCAAAACCACTCCCTTTGCCAGACCCATTTTGGTAATTTACTCAAAACAAAAAGAGTAAATTACAATTTTCATCTGTGTGGTTTGTTAATTATTTCGATTTTTCTTTTTATGGTTTAGAAGTTATGATTTTCATCCCTAAGTTTGCAATTTATTGTTATTTTCGTTTTTAAGATTTGCAATTTATTACTATTTTCGTCCCTAAACTAAGTCATACCTTTTTAGTACAAATAATCAAAACAAAAGAGTTTTAAACCATATGAACTGAAACAATAATAAATTGCAAATCATAAGAACAAAAATATCAATGAATTGCAAACTATAAGGACAAAAACTGTAATGTCTAAATCATATGGACAAAAAGCGTAATGTTTAACAAATCACAGGGACTAAAAACGTAATTTACACTCAAACAAAAAATGGCATAAAGGCCGAGAAGCACATGTCCTCGGCAGTCTATACCGACAACACATTATCTTTTCATTTCATTTCCCACTTTTCCGATTCCATCTCTCCGCCGCCATGGACCGCCGTCGCCGGAGAAATTTGATAGTTGAAGCTTTCATGGTGGTTTTATTGTTGAACCAATTTGTGGATGGCAAAGGCAGAAAACACCGATGTGAATTTCCGGCGGTTTTTAATTTCGGAGATTCGAATTCCGATACTGGTGGGTTGTCGGCGGCGTTTGGACAGGCTCCACCGCCCAATGGGGAGTCATTTTTCCGTCGGCCGGCCGGTAGGTATTGTGATGGCCGTCTGGTTATCGACTTCATAGGTATTGTAATTTAACCCTTTATTTTTCACTTTCATTTTCACAAATTTTAAGGAAAACTAAATAGATGTGTCAATCAGGAACTGAATACCTTCTCTATCAGACATGTTTTAAAATCCTGAGTTTAAGACCAGATGAAACGAACAATATCTGGTACGATTAACTCGAGAATGATATGAGAGCTAGAAAGGTGGGAAACAGTGTGTGCCGGCCAGGGATGGACCCAGATTTTTTTTCAAATGGTGCCACCATTTGACTATAAGAGAAAACTATAGCGAAAGAATATCAAACAGTGACACCGCTTGACTATAAGAAATAAATATATGAATTTTTTTTTCAATAGGTGACACTATTTGACTAAGAAAATGACACTAACAAGATTTGAATTTGGGTCTTGAGTGGAATAAAAGTCTTGCAAACCAACTCTACCAAATAAAACTTGTTCTCATTGTAGTTTTAAAATACATACGGTGGCACACGGCGGGTTAATATTGTTGCACCTTTCACGAACCTAACTTTTTTTACCCTTCGACGGAGAAATAATACGGTGGCACGTGCCACCGTAACCACCATGGTAGCTCCCGCCCATGGTGCCAGGGAGGATTACAATTGCATTATAAGGGACTGAATACCTTCTTCTCATTTTGTGTATATGGTAACCGATTAATGCTTCAATTGGTTACCCGAGTACTTAAATGTTTAAAACTTTACATATTAGTTACCAAAATGGAAATTTTGAAAATATGTTACACAAAATAGGAATCAAGTCAAAGACCTTCCAGCCTAGTGGTAAAGGCTTGGGCATGGCATAGTCATGAACCCGAGTTCGAGCCCTGGGAGGGGAGTGTTGGCGACATTTAAGTGAGACCATGTTTAGCCTCCAAAATTGCCGGGGATTAGTCGGGCTTTGGCCCGGACACCCTTACAAAAAAAAAATAGGAATCAAGTAAAAATACGTTACCCAAAATAAATATAAACATGTTTATAGCAACACCCAAATTGAATTGCACGTGATTTGATACTTGATGTACATTAAATTCTGTATTGAAAGAATATTTAACAAATACAGGAATATTGTGGTACAAATTTTAATGCATAAAATACTATTTTTTATTTTTAAAATAATTATTCATATTTTTATTTTAGTTTTTTAAACACGTGTTTATTTTTACCTGTACCTTGTTTATTCATTACTTCTTCTATTATTAAGGATATTATTGTCATTTAATTAATTAAAAAGAATGCATTGCTTACAAATTCTTAGAAAAGTGTTTTTTCATCGTGAACGTTTATTTTGGAATAAATGATTTATATAACTTTGTACACATATTTAAGCATAACGTACGATTCGTTCTTTTTGTTTCAAATTTTGCAGCCCAAAATTTCGGGCTGCCTTATTTGAGTGCATACCTAGATGCACTTGGTTCAAACTTCACCCAAGGAGCTAATTTTGCTACAGCTGGTTCGACCATTAGACCCCAAAATACGACCCTATCTCAAAGTGGGTTCAGTCCCTTTTCCTTAAACGTTCAGTGGTACCAGTTCAACGATTTCCATGGTCGGGTCCGAAATTTTCGCACCCAAAAAGGTGAAGTTTTGTATGTATAATATCTTATAAATTATACTTGTGTCGTACAAAACGTTTATATATCATTTAAAATGCAATGTAGGTGACGGGGTATTTGAGAGATTGATACCCAAAACTAAAGATTTTTCCCGTGCTTTGTACACATTTGATATCGGGCAAAATGATTTAACCGCGGGTTTGTTCCAAAACTTGTCTATTGATCAAGTTAGGGCGTCGGTCCCCGATATCGTAGGTCAATTCAAAACTGTCATCGAGGTGAGTCTGATCGTGAAATTATCTTAAATACATAGGTACTTCTGTACCAATGCGCGTGAGCTGAATGAGTATTACCCATTATTTTAGTAGGTATAATAATGGGTATTACCCGTTATTTTAAATGGATTTTGTAGTTGAATAATTTTATCAAATTCATATCTTACCCGTTGCCAGCCGTATATGTAATGAATTTAGTTTTCTTGATTAGGACATATATAATCAAGGAGGAAGATCATTTTGGATACACAACACAGGTCCATTCGGGTGTCTACCGTATGTAATTGCCCGTCCACTGAGCACAAATGGACAAGTGGACAAATACGGATGTGTTGGCTCGTATAACGAGTTGGCTCAATCTTTTAATCGTCAATTAAAAGAAACCGTGGGCCAACTACGTAAGGATCTACACAAGGCGGCAATCACCTACGTTGACGTCTACTCAATCAAGTATACACTCATTACCCAAGCAAGCCAACATGGTAAGCAACTTAAAACTCTGAACCCTAAACCCTAAAAGTGTGTTTGATATATGTACACGGCATGACAGACATAACAATCCTACACCCTAAGGGTGTGTTTGGTATTTAGACACGATAGGATAAGACATAGCTACTGCTCAGCGTGACAGCGTTTGGTAAGAAGAGACTTGACATGACTGAGCAGAGAAAAATTACCAATTTACCCCTAATCAGTTTTTTACATGTTTTGATTAATTTATTAAGTTATAACAAAATAAATATTTTTATAACATAATATATCATTAGAAAGTCTCCGTCAAGGCAATTATAATGACACCAAAATAAACATTCATTTGTAGTTTCCAATTTTTAGTTTATATCTTTTCTATATTATTTATTGCTATTATTAATATTTAATACATTACATAAATTAATCAAAATATAAAAACTGCATAAAAATAATATTTTGAGGCCAATAAAATGAAAGTTTAAATAACATAAAATAAAATAAATAAAATATAAAAAGTGAAGTGTATTTAATGTTTTAGAAGAATTTTACGTTTTATTTTGAGGTCATATTGGTAAAATATTGATCATTTTCACGTTGTTTCATGAGGTGGGGTTGGAAAGTGTATGTTTCACTTTGAACCTGTCAATTCTACATAAAAGTTGTGTCAAATATAGAACAATAATTTTATTCTGTTTTGTTTTGTCCAGTATACCAAATACATCCTAAACTTCTTTCTAAGATTATTTTTAGAAGAAGATACATTTCTTTTTTATTGTGTGCTTTAACTGTTGTACCTTTGTTAAAATGAAGGGTTTGAGCATCCATTAAGAGCTTGTTGTGGTCATGGAGGAAAGTACAACTACGATATGCATATTGGGTGTGGAGGAAAAGTCAAAGTCAAAGGGAAGGAAATCTTGGTGGGTAAATCATGTAATGATCCAACGGTCGCAGTTAGCTGGGATGGGGTTCACTACACCCAAGCAGCCAATCAATGGATTTTCGATCAAATGGTAGATGGTTCGTTTTCTGACCCGCCTATCTCGTTGGGATTGGCGTGTCAGAAACAACCTTAATCTAATAAGGTTGTTTAAAAAAAATTAATTTAATATTTCTAGTGACGGAATTTTAGTCAGATCAAATATATATCTGTTTGATGAGTTTATATTCAGTTTTCTGATAAAAGTTTCCCTTCTTTCCATCTCGATGTTGATTAAATCAACTTTGACCATTTCTGATAAAAGTTTCCCTTCTTTTCATATTCGATGTTGATTAAATCAACTTTGACCACCAAAAATTGTAAGATAATCGGGAAGATGGAATTTGATTTGTTGTTTGAAGTTATTGTATGTATGAATCTGATCGTAATGAAATTGTGGTATCAGTATAAATATAACAACTTCAAAACTGTTATTCAATTTATGAGTTAGATTTTAATATAATTCGTAATACTAATTAGGGGTGTGTAGAAAATTAACCGATCCAATTGAAACCGAATGATCCAATTAGAACCGACCGACCATAATTGAATACCCAATTGTAATTGGATCAGGTCGGATTGAAAAATTCAACATCTAATTTGGATCAGTCGGTTCTCGGATGACAACCCACAACAACCAAAACCGAACTGATCAACATCCAATTAATCATCTAATGATCATTCAATTGTCCAGTCAACCATTATCCAACCATCATCCGATTAATTTATTTTCAAATTGCTTAAATCGGAATTTGTTTTATGTGAGACTTTGAATTTTTAACTTCTCTTGTGTTGGTTTTAACACATATTAAAAGCGATTAATCAATTTGTATAATTGTTGAAGAATTAAATTGAATTAACACACTGGATGAATCCGATCCCAACGGATCATCCATAGGATATCCAATAAAAGTATCCAATAAATGAAATCGATATTTATAAAGTAACTATTTAACAAACTGTTAAGGTACTATAATGCGAAATACTGATATAATAAGTAGCATTTTAGCAAGTTGTTTAACACTTTAAGTGACAGATATAACTTACGAAATTATTATTTTATAAATATTTTATTTATAAAAAATGGATTTTACAAGTTATTGTTTATTTCAAAATAAAATAAAGAATAAAAATTGATTATTTGAAATTTCTGGTCTTCTTGTTACAATTCTCTTTGTGGGACCAATTTTATATTACAAATCAACAACCTCCTTTGTTTTGTTTTTTTTTTTAATGTTGACCCATAAATGATAATCAAATATTCCAGAAAACTAAGGGGACGTTTATCAAACATTTATCCGATAAGTGTTTACCGGTAAAATTTAACATTACCACTTACTTACCGGGTAAGACTTTAGTCCACCAAAACGGCATTGTATGCAACAATTTACTCAGTAAGCGCTTACCATGGTAAGAGTCGTCGCCCTCACTTACCGGGTAAGACTTTCGATCATTGTCTCCCTTTTACCGGGTAAGATTTTTGGTGCTTATCATATTCATCCAGTAGAGTAATGTGACTTGGTATGCGCTTACTCGGGTAAGCATTTGGTAAACGGCTCCTAAGTATAGTTTATCAAATACTTACTCGATAAATATTTATTGGTAAAATATAATACTATATTTTATTTATTGGGTAAGATTTTAGTCCATCAAAATGGTATCGTATGCAATATTTTATCCGGTAAACGCTTACCGATAAAAGTCGTCACCATCACATACCGGGTAAGAAGACTCTTGGTCCTTATCATACTCATCTGGTAAGATAATGTGACTTGGTCTTCACTTATTCAAGTAAGCGTTTGGTAAACAGCTCCTAAATCAGATGGGAATCTAAAAATAAAAATATTGTATAAAATTATAGAAATGAAAATGTTAACACTTAATTTAGTACAGAGAGAATAAGAATAGTTGATGACACAAATATTGTATTATATAAATATACAATCAAATATGTTTATTATCATATTTAAGACATACATAAATATGTTTTTATAGTTATATTTAATGCATTTATTGTCATAAATTTGAGGTTTTAAGTTATTAAATTAATTATTTTTATTTTTATTAATAACGGAAGAAAATTTGTATTAAATATAAAAAATATATTTGATATATTTTTCTAAATTATTCGAATATATTTATATTAAAGGATAAATTGCATAAAAAATAACATACTTTAACTTGATTCTTATTTTAGTTAACGTACTTTCAAAATTTTCATTTTAGTATCTAAGATATAAAGTTTTAAACATTTAAGTGCCCTAATAACATGTTGAAACATTAACCGGTTACCTTGCTGATATGGTATCCAACTCAGTATTATTTGCTAAAATATTAACCAGATATCACATCAACATGGTAGCCGGTTAATGCATCAATCAGTTATCCGGGTATTTAAATATTTAAAATTTTACATCTTAAAAACAAAATAGAAGTTTTAAAAATACATTACCTAAAATAAAAATCAAATTAAAGTATGTTACTGATTAAAGTCTTAAAATATCAATCTTGAAAATAACTTTTAATTTTAATTATATAAAAGTGGAGGTAATATGTTTGAAATGTTGAAAATGTAGAGCATATAAATTGTTAATGCTGAAAAATGGATGGAAAGTGAAACCTCCATCGGCGGTTTCTCGTTGTTTCTGAAACCAAATCTCTCTCTCTCTCTGGATCTCACTGCCTGAGAATGTTTCCGATCTGTAGGTTACTGATTTCAGTTACGTTATTGCTACCGATCTCGATATTCTCTTTGCCGGAATGTAATTTTCCGGCTATATTTAACTTCGGTGATTCAAATTCCGATACTGGTGGTTTATCGGCGATGTTCGGACAAGCTCCTCCACCTAACGGCGAAACTTTCTTCCATTCTCCTGCCGGACGCTACTGTGATGGACGTCTTTTAATCGATTTCATAGGTACGTTTGCGCTCCTGTATTTTTTTTGTTTCAAACGCATGGTTCCAATCAGTTTAATGATGTCGTGAGTGTAGTTTGCTTTCGATCTAATGAATATTCAAATTCCTTGTTCCTGAAACTCGAAATTTTCCTCATTTATGTTCTGTATTGTGATATTCTACCTGTTGTCATTGTAACTAGTTTACAAAATCCGTATAAATCGTCATTTTAACTCGAAGTCATTTGAAATGTTGATAGTACTTGGACAGACCTTGGATATAGTCCGACAGGTTAGCTCAAATGTAATCGTAAATTTATACTATCTTCACTATGAAATGAGCGATATAAGTTTGACTCCCGTGGTCGACTTTTGTACAAAACAAAGCAAAATTCCACCTTTTCAGGGTTGCAATAGGAATGTTTGACTATTCTATTATAAAACAAATGTAGTTCTAGAGCTCGGAAAATGGCCTTCTTCTGCTAGCTAGTCGTCTATGCCGTTTCTAGGCTTAAAACTAGTATAGATATTGTTTAAATGGATGGTTATTCTGTTTAAATATGGAAAAAATTGGCTGTTTTGTAATGGAAGCCCTTCATATTTGGCTAGTTTAGTGATTATAATCGTTTCAATATATATGAATAATATGATAATGGATTTATATTCCACAAACTCGGTTTAAGATAAATTAATTATTAAAAAATCATATAAGTCGAAACTTTGGGGTTAGAGAGAGATTTACCTAAATCTAATCCAGATCCTACCTTCAGGGATTTGGTTTAATTAATATGAGAATAAGACGAAATTTTATTTGTAATTATGGTCCTGATTAAGTGGTGGCAGAAGATGCTGGTTATTAATCATTTGGCTGCATTCGGATCAGCGTCTTCATCTTCAGGCCACCCTCTATGAAGGTTTAGGACTTATTTGTTTCTTTTCTTCTTATTATGATACTAAAACTCATGAGTTTTATTGATCAACTAATAATGTATTTAAATATTTCAATGATGATTGAACAAATTTGAAGTTACAAGAAACCCAATAGAAAGAACAACAAAAAAATCAATCAAAAATAAACCAAAGTATGAAAAGGCTGAAAATTGTTTATGAGTCCCAAGTTGGTTATCATGTTCGTTTGTAACTAACTACAATCAAATGCAGCAGAAGTCAACCCTACTGGACTGTGGTCATTGGATTGTGTTCATTTAGTTATAATCTTAAATAGGATTTTAATTAAATTCATTATCTTTTGATAAGTTAAAAAAAAATGGCTTTTTACTTGCCAAAAAATAATAGAATTTAATTAAAATCTAATTAAATGGGGAAAACTGGCCGATCTATGATAGCTATTAACTAATGCCATGTAGTGAGTGAGTCTAAATAATTAAAATAAATCATTCTTTAGGCTTTGGATTCATCTCTTAGCTATTTCTTCTCAATATTTCAATAATGTCACTACCTTCTCAAGTAGCACATTCTCAATTCGGATGGATCAAAAGGTAAAAAAAAAATTGAACATGGTCCGCAAGTGTAAGGACCAAATCTGTAACTTAGTCCAAACACTTCCGCTATCTAGTTTACACATTTGGTCTCTGCACTTCCGGAAACTTTTTTTTTACACCCATCCGTAAATTGAGAAGGTATCACTTACAAAGGTAGTGATATTTTGAAATTTAAAGACAAAAATGACTAAGAGATAAATTAAACAATTCATGTCTAAAATAAAATTTAGTATGACCATAATTGTGTCAGATGCGTTTATTTAACTTTTCTATCCTCTGAACAACCACCAACAAAAAACCAAAAGTCTACCAATAATGTCAAAAAGGATTGTCTTTTGCGCCTACATAGCCACATGTTTGATTTGGTTTTATTTATTATTACAGCTATTTTTAATTAGGGTGTTTAATTTTGTATCACAAAAAATAACCAATTTTTATATTATTTGGTTTGTATCAATCTAATTGGTTGATATTATCGTACCAACTATTTAAATATGGTTCGTGTACCGGTGAATACTGTACTATATCGACTTATTCTTCTAATTATTTACTAATTGAAGTTTAATTAGTAATATAACATTTTGATTTTTAAATTTTCAATTATCTTATTTTCATTTTTGCTAAATTATAATATGGATGGATATACAAAACTTGATTAAATTCATCTGTTTAACCCTAACAATCTTATTAACTCACCCACACCTCCAGGATTTTTCGTCGTTCCTTAATCACCGCTTGTATTAGACTACTAGGAAGTATTTGTATTATATGAAATTTATTTGAATGCTTGTATGATATGAAATTTATTTGATTGCTTGTATTATATGAAAGTTATTTGACTGCTTATAAAAGTAAGGATAAGTGGTACACCACATATCAACATGTTATTTGAATGTTTGATGGTTTTAGTGTATCTAGATCTAGTTGGTAAAGATGTCAATATAGATAAATTTATAACTTCAACTCGTACGATGTTGGTATGGTGTACCAACTGAATAAAGTTGGTATCAAGTATAGTTCGTAGGTATATGATATAAAATTTTACGTATCAATAATAATTGGTTAATACATAGTATAATGAAAAAAACGATGATACCATATCCTATTCATCCCTATTTTAACATTATTGGTTTACAGTGACATATGAAACCTATCATCTAATAACATAATAATGAGTTATTTTCTTTACTTAGCTAATTAGATCTATTTATCCGTTAACTCTTTTACAGTTTCAATCCAAATTGAGTGGTTTTTGTTTCAATTTTCAGCTGAAGGTTCAGGATTACCTTATCTTAGTCCATTTTTGGACTCAATGGGTACAAATTTTAGCCATGGTGCCAATTATGCGACCGCCGGATCAACAATCCGGCGTCAAAACACTTCTATTTTCCAAAGCGGGTATAGCCCGATTGCCTTGGACATTCAATATGCCGAATTCTCCGATTTTTTTAAAAGATCCCAAATAATCCGTCAAAAAGGTACTTGTTCTTGACTCATTTGCATATTAACTTATACATCATGCATTAAAATATTTAAAAACCGCACATGAACATGGTGCAGAAGACGTATTTAAGAACTTATTCCCGGAAAAGAGCAAGTTTTCCAGCGCGTTGTACACGTTCGATATAGGCCAAAATGATCTCACCGCTGGGTACAAACTTAATATGACTACCGAACAAGTAGAAGCATTTGTTCCCGATGTTATATCACAGTTTACGACTACTATCAAGGTGAGACCACCAACTTATCAAACTTGTCATGTTTCCTTCTCAACTAAGTCATACATAGGGTTAAAATGGTAAATTCATGTTATTCAAACACTTGCCAAACAGCCGGTTTTCATGCATATAGTGTATCTTGGGGATATTTTGTTGGTTTTCAATTAAGTCCAGTATGGATAAAATTGTGTCTGGATTAATTTGTTTGTATAGATTGTGATGGTTTTTGTTTGAGAGGGTTTTTTCATAGATGAAAAAAACATGTTCTTTAATTGGAAGGGACATATTTGGAAAAAATTGGCTTTCTGCAAAAACTCTTCATTAAATGAAAAAACCACTTTCTATATCATTAGGCCACCACCAAACAATCATGTATAGTTGACCGAATAAGCAGTGAGTCTCATTGGACTCATTAAACCGCTACCCATCGTCATTCCCTCTCTGTCTAAAGTGAGAGGGGTTCTCTGYGCGCAGTGTAAGATTCCCCTGGATGGGTCTCGTAGGCAGCAGCATTCGTGCTTGCCTTTGCCGTGATTGTCCGTTGTTCCCTTGGTGCGCTGTCATTGACGGTGTAAATCTGTTCGTTCGAGAAAACATGTTGATCYCTTTCCATATCCTATCCCCGGTTGTTGCCCTATCAAGATGTGTCCCTTCCTTTGACCCCTTTTCCGATTTATTAGTGCTGTCCCCCTTGCGTTCCCCCCCTTTGTGAAGAATTCCATTTCCCTTTTTCTCCACTCTTATTTCTTCCTTTCTTATTCTCCTGTTGGAAGTACCTAATCTGCTTTTTTAAATCTTTCCTTTCTTATACAAGATTCTAAGGTCCTTCCCCTGTATATAAGTCTGTGCAGTGAGTCTCATTGGACTCATTACCAGTCCCTTAATCATTCTACATTAAATCATTTGGCATTTATCAAATAACACCTTAGTTGGCGAATTCCATTGTACGATTAACTGATACATTCTTGAATCGCACTTTTTACACAGAACGTGTACGATCGAGGTGGGAGAACGTTTTGGATACATAACACAGGGCCGGTTGGTTGCTTACCGTATATCTTGGATACCCACTTGATCACGGCGGCACAGGTGGATGAAATTGGTTGTGCCACCCCATTTAATGAAGTCTCACAATATTTTAACAACAAACTCAAGGAAGCAGTAATCGAACTCCGGAAAGAACTCCATTTGGCCGCTATCACCTATGTTGATATCTATTCAGTCAAGTATTCACTCATTGGTAAAGCAAAAAAGCTCGGTAAGTTCTTCTCTTTTTCGCTTTGTGTTCTGTTGGGGTTGTTTGATTGGTTTTCCATTAAGTCCTTAATGGATAAAGTTCTTTGTGTGGATTAATCCGTTTATATTGATTAGGAAGGTTTTTGTGTGGGAGAGTTTTTTAAAAGGGTGTCCCATGCTATGACCAGACTAATCCCGGTAAATAGACACTCATAAACTCAGTAGCCACAATTGTTTCTGGGAGGGTTTTCATAAACGGAATAAGCATGGTTTTTAATTGAAAATGACAGATTTTGCAAAAACTTGGCTTTGTGTTTAAAAGCTCCTCCTAGAAACTTACAGAATAAGCCATTTTCTACATCATTAAGCCACTACCAAACAATCATTTATGATTGACCGAATAAATTGTGAGTCCATTAAGCTTATTACTTTCAAAAATAGCTCTTTAACTGGATTATGACACCAGGATTTGATGATCCGTTCTTGGTGTGTTGTGGGCACGGAGGAAAGTATAACTTCAACAATGCGAAGAGGTGTGGAAGCACGGAAATGGTGGACGGTAAAGAAATCTTGATTGCGGATTCGTGTGAAGATCCATCGTCACGGATCCTTTGGGACGGAATTCACTTTTCCGAGGCAGCTAACCGATGGATCTACGGTCAGATTGCCAATGGGGCATTCTCCGATCCGCCGGTTCCATTAAGGATGGCTTGCCATAAAAGAGAAGGGAAGACCACGGGACCCGTAAGTCCAACCACAGAACAACAAAGATCAAATTAATCAAAATTTATTTTTAGGGAGCGTTTGGTATCAAGTATTAAGCAGTAATTAGTGAAGATGAAAATAAAATAAACTGTTTAGTTTTTTATAGTATAATGGATCTATTCCCTCATATTAGAATCCCAAATTTCCATTCCAGGTTAAACTGTAATCATTTTCATACTCATTTTCATTCATTTGTCTGAACCAAACGCCTCTTTAGACTACTATAATGAATGAATGTCAAATTAATTTGTTTATTTTCTTCTCCAATATAATTAATTGATATATTTTTGTGTCCTTATTATCTATTAAATTCTTTTTATCTCTTATTATATGTTACAATTTTTTGGGTTTTTTAATTTATTAAATTCTTTTAGAGTGCTATTGTATTTTAAGGGAAAAATTTGGGCGCCTAAATATTTTTGAGTCCTGGACATGCGCCCGTGTCGCCCTCCTAGGGACGGCCCTGATAACCACCTCTTACTCTATATAGTATTATAAGTCACTAAGGCATTCTCCACTAAAAACCACACTATGAAATCGATGGTTGGACTTAGAGGTTTCCATTACAAGTGCAAGAAGTACAATAAACTTCTAAGAGCAAAAAATGGTCAAATAAATCCACCTTAAATGTACAACTTCCAATGCACAAGATACAATAAGATCACAAGTTATTGGAAAGGCCTTTTAAGGTCGATAAAAGAGAGAGACAGAGAAGCTCCTAGAAAAAAAAAAGTTCAAATCCAACCAACACAAATGTACATTTAGTTATTGGAAAGCTTTTAGGTCAACTATCATGACTGTAATATCATCTAAACTACCTCTACTTACACCAAGATTTACTAGCTCCCTACAAGCTTCTATAAGCTTGGTTTGGGATTCTAGTTTGCAGTTAGAGTTCTGGTTCAGAGTCCTGGTCTTAACCATGGGTCTAGTAGGTTCATTGTTTTCGCTTTCTTTCCGGTTATTCTTAACAGTCCGTTTCATTCGATAAACTTTCTTCGCTTTCGGTGACAACATGCATCGTGTCACTACATCAATAGCTTCTTGATTTCCAACCTAAAAACATTCAAAGTTCAACAGTAAAGAATTTGTCACAAATGTTAATCCGAATTACCCGTTATGGATGACAAAAGGGTTGAGAAAGCGATAATGACAAAAAAAAAATGAAAAAGTATAACAATATGGATGTTCATTTTTTTGGTATAATTTGTTTGGAGTAAATTACATTTTTTCGTCCCTATGGTTTGTTAAAAACTGCAATTTTCATCACTATGGTTTAGAAATTGCGGTTTTCAACCCTATGATTTGTAACTCATTGCTATTATTTTTCTTATGATTCACAATAGGTCCCTGTGATTTACAATTCTTTATTGTTTTGGTCCCTTGTACTAAAACGTAGGAATTAGTCCAGGAACGAAAATAGCAATAAATTGCAAACCATAGGAACGAAAATCACAATATCTAAACCACAGGGATGGAAATATAAATTATTAACAAACTGTAGGGACGAAAACCGTAATTTACTCTATAGTTTAAGATAATTACCGACACACCTAATATGTCACCCTGAGAACTTAGGATATGAGTTAAAATGTACGACGACTTGAGCTCTACCGAAAAGAACAGAACAAAGTTTGTGTTTGCAAAAAGATTTTGGCAGATACGCAAATGTTTCACGAGTATGATATCGTTGCTTACCTCATCCCAAAGTCCATCGGAAGCCAAGACTAGGTACTCCAAGTCTTCAGTCAATGGTAACACCTTGGTCTCGGGCTCACCCACAACCCAATCTTTCAAATGAGCATCACCTATGCTTCTTGAGACCGCGAGTATACCATGAACCCTCCAAGTCCCACGATGAAGCTCTACATATCCGCCCTGCATCACGCAAACACATAAAGGATCGTGTGAGAATAGGAGTCAAGATGAGAATTGTAAAAAGTGATTTAAAGGAGAATTGATCCGGTACTTCTCATTAGTGTTGACCTAGTGGAACTCTTTAATTAGGATTGATTAAGGATGGAGATCCCTTCTTACCCTTCTCACCATAACTCTTATTTTCACCGGAACCCAACCCCATATAATTATCAGTTTCATTGTTTTCTAATGAAAATGCTACTAGTAACTAATTTGATTGTTACCTTATCTTCTATCCGTTTACGTTCATCCTCATGCGATGCTCTGTGATCGTTAGTTAACATGTCGGCCTTTCCTTTTCTGGAAAGAACGGCTCTGCAATCGCCTAAGTTCGATACGACAAGTTCTTTTCCTTTTATAAGGGCTGTAACACAGCAAGTGCCACTCCCTAATCCCTGTAAATCATCACCATATACCATTCAGTTTTGAAACATTTGTAGAACTCCCTAATAATCATTATACTTGAAATTCAAGATATATGTATGTATATATATATATAGAGAGAGAGTCCGGTCGAAACACGAGAATAAGAAAACGGTCAAATCATATGTGATTCACGATACTTTCCTGCACACCCTTGCGTTGAGTGTTGGTGTAAAATCACATGTGATTTTGCATGGGTTCTTTCATGTAGTCATTGTTCTCGTTTGAACCCCTCTCTCTATATATACACATTTAGAGAGAGGGTGGGTTCATAAAGAACACTGCCGTTTTACAAAAAATGCGAGAACATTTCCGAGGCTCTAAATTATTTAACCCATAATTAAATTAAAAGAAAATAAAGTAAATAATTAAGGATAATCATTTGATTTTGTATTTATTTGTAATCTTAGTAACTTAATTATCCCTAAAATCACGTACAAATGATATACCGACCGATCACAATGTATTAAAACATCATCTCATTATTATCACAACAAAATCATATAATGAACCAGACGGAGCAATGATTGTGGAGGTAATCATACCTAGTTTTTGATTATCACATAATTATCATATCATTATCAAAGTAAAATCATATCATAAGAAGTTTTCGATTTTATCAAAGCATTATCACATTTTTATCATGGTAATATCATATCATCATTATCGACAAGGGACACATCGGCATAAAGAAGTCTCTGATGATACTAGCAACAATTTAAATAAAAGAAAATTGTTGATAAATACTAATTTATTTCCATTTAATCTATTTTTTATTATGGGTTAAATGATTTGGACGCCCAGTAATTTTCTCGTATTTTCGTAAAACTGGAGTGTTTTCATTTGAACACCGCACATATATATATATATATATATATATGTGTGTGTGTGTGTATATACGTGTATGTGTATGTATGTATGTATATATGTATGTACACATATATTTAATTGTAGTTTCAATTAAGAGTTTTGCAACTATAGTAGTTTAAAAGATAAAGTTGAGTACACTAGTTATATACAATAATACTGGACACGTGAAAGACGATTTCTTTGCATAAGTTTACAATTTTAAAGTTGAAAATTGTCGACCTTTAGCCTTTGGTATGTGACTTTGTCACCGGATTAGTATGATGACCAAGTCTAGATCTTGAAAAGTAAACAAAATGTGAACAACTCTTAACAACACTGGATCTAAAAATACCAGAATTTTTAAGAACGAGTCAAAATGTTGTTAAAAAATGTTTGAAATTACTGTCACAATCAACAATGCAATCTTAGCCTTGTTTTGCTTCAGAAATAGAATTCTTTGACACATATCAGAATGTAAGAGAATGATTTGCTGATTCTACAAGAATCAGTGAGTTTAGACAAAGAAAATGTCAAACATTATGGGGCCATTTACTAAATGCTTACTAGGTCAGTTTACTTTACTGGATGAACATGACAAAGGATTGGATATCTTACCTGGGTAATGACAAGGACCGAGTGATACGCGGTAAGTGAGAACGATGACTATTAACCCGGTAAGCATTTACCGGATAAAAATGTTGCACACGATGCAGTTCTAATGAACTAAAATCCTACCCAGTAAGTTAAATGGAAGTGTTGTCTCTTACCGGTAAGTGCTTGCTAGATAAGCGTTGGGTAAACAGCCCCCTATGACTCGTCTTTTGGCATTTACATACCCACAACTTATCTCATATATCTCATTCTTGGACTTATTCTTTGACATTTTCATAAGAATGGTTAGCGAAAATAGCTAAAATCCAGTTGTTGAAAGATTCCAGGGCTACAATGTGAAGTGTTCGTAGAATTCATCATTCCAACTAGGAATTTGAAGTGTGATTCACTTTTTGGACAATCATACTTGAGCAATTTTCGACAAATCTTGAAAGTCCAAGTGCATGTTTGTTAACTGCTTAATGAGCTTAATAAAACTCACAGTTTATTCAGGCAGCTATACGTGACTGTTCGATAGTGGCTTAATGATATAGAAAGTGGCTTATTTAATAAGTTTTTAGAGGGATGCAGAAAGCCAAAAAAAATCCAGACCTGCCCTCCAAATTAAAAACACGCAGCTTCCATCTAGAAAAAAATCTCCCTAACAAAAATCCTTCCAATCTATACAGACCTATTAGTCCATACAATTGGCTTTATTCATACAAGACTTAATAGAAATCCAACCACATAGACAAAAAACCACCCCACTTGTGTATTGTTCTTTTCATGAAAATATGTGGAACCCCATATTGATCTCCAAAATAATACATACAGATAATTGGTCCAAATTTCAGCATTAACAAATTACAGTTCATCAACATAAAATGAAAACACGAACCTGTTTTAGGAATTCATCATCAGTTTTAATGAATGCAGCTTTAACGACTTCTTCTGTTGTTGTATTATCTGAGCATTTATCCAACATCTCTAGTACATTGGAGTGCAGATTCTTCGCTACAAATTCCGCAGCTTTGCTGCCTCCATGTCCATCATAAACTCCAAAAAAAACCTAATTACACCACGAAAACTAATCAATCGAACAACAAAAATCAATCAAAATATACATAAATTACAACTTCGCGAATCAATATTCATAAATTAAATCATCGTCAAAACACTAAAATCAGGAGGATTACGAATGTACCTTATCGGTGTTCGAAGAAGAAACAATCGTGTGAGTATCTTCCATGAACGATTTCCTGCCTTTGACGGAGCAAACACCAACGCCAAATCCACTAGACGAGAAAACGGCGTCAGATCTGGATTCAAAGTTCTTCGGTGTGAATTTAACGGCGGCGGACTCGATTTCTTGAAGTACGTTAGGGATCTCAATCATCGGCGGTCGTTTCCGCTTTTTCGAAGTAGTCAAGACGGTGAACGGCGTCTGTAGCGTAACGGTTGTATCGCCATCGGACAATCTTAAAATGCTCGGAGGCATTGATGAACCTATTTCTGGTGATCGGAGAAAGAATCTCCGACGATCAGCGGGTATGGCGAGGGGTGAGAGTGGAGACTGGAGAGGGTTAAAGAAGAAGAAGAGGGAGGAGTTGTAACGGCTACTTCAAGCTGGAGGAGTTGATACCCTAGAAATGACTTTGGGCACTCACCTTAAAATGACCATTCTACCCCTCACATCCTTTTAATTTACAATCGAGGCAAATTACATAAAAATAAATTATGTACTTTAATCTGATTTCTATTTTTATACCTGATATGTAATAACATTTTCAATAGATTCTCTATAATTTCTTTAAAAACAGGAAAAAGAATTCAATATCAAAAAACTGTTTTTGGAGTATCTCCAACAGATATGCTATATTTTCTCTTCCTTCTTCTAAATTTAGAGATTTCTTCATTCTCTCTTCTATTTTTCTTTGTTTTAGAAGAGAGTTTAGCATAGCTATTGGAGTAAACTTTTTAAGATCTTCAAAATTTATAAAATAACATAGTTGTTGGAGATGCTCTTAATTATAACATATTCTCTATTTTAGATATTTCAACATTTATTATATCAAATTATATTGTACTTTACATTGCAATTATGTATGTTAGTTTCGTAACCGTTTTTGTTTTTCATTTAAACATATGGGCATATCGTGAGTTGTCATAGTTATTTACGTACTTTCTAATTTTTAAAATCAGATCATTTTATTTCACACCTGATTACCAATTGTAACTTGATTTTAGTTTGTCGATCAGGAAAGTGTAGACTTATCTGAAACCGTAAATCGTCTGTAGTTACTTATTCAATGTGAAAATATTTTCACGGGTCAAAAAAGTAATATGAACGAAATCATAAGGGTATTTTAGTCATTCGGGTAAAGGAGTGGGAAAATGAAAATAAAGAGTGGAGCGGGTCAAAGTTACATGGATGTTAGTTGGGACTGGGAGGAGTCAAATATCGGCCGAGCCGTTTGGAATTAATTATTTTATTTTTATTTTATTTTTAAAGAAGTCATATTTATTGAATATTGTCAAAGTCAAAAGCTGCTTTTTAGTGAGTTATTTAATTTTTTGAATTACACTTTATATCATTTTAATTAATTATTTGATTTATTTTACATTTTTATTTTTTTTACACTCTTATTATATTAACATAAAAAAATTTATATGAACTAAAATGCATTAAAAATATGTTTCTTTTTTACAAATTATATCATTAGAATCGATTCGTCAATACCTTCAAAATGAGCACAATATTGAATATTTTGAATTTAATTGTGCTATTAAATGTCATGAATACTTACAAATTATTTTGTTTTATATTATCTACGTATAAATTTTTACATCTATATTTATACAATATATATATAACCACCTTAATCGGTTATTGTTGAAATTTAAGAGGTACAACTCCTTATACTTCAAGTACAAATTCTCTTACACGTTCCTTGCTCTCTGATCAACCAATTCTCCTAAATAACAACTCATACTCTATAATTATCAAAAGAATAAATAGGAATAGTCTCGTGTCTCCGACACATTAGTTTCAATGCTTTTTGGGCTGCAGGTGAATAATTTCAAACACCAATTATGGTCGAAATATGACTTTCAGCATTCAAAGACTACATAGCTCGATGGTGTGTCCATCCATATGTTGAATGTTGTAGGTACCACTGATGAACTACATGACGGTGTATGTTGTAGGTGTCATTGGTGAACTACATGACAAGTGTATGTTGTAGGTACCATTGATGAACTACATAACTTGAGTTGGTTGGAATCTATGGTACGGTCAGGGACGGACCTATAGTGGTGCATGCCACCGTATTATTTCTTCGTCGAAGGGTAAAAAAATTTAGGTTCGTGAAAGGTGCAACCGTATTAATTTGTTGTGTGCCACCGTATGTATTTTGAAACTACAATGAGAACAAGTTTTCCTTTTTAAAATCATTAGCAGAGTTGATATATAAAAACCCTTTTGATGATTTTTTGGCGCTCCAAATCCACGTGGATCAGTAGTTAATTTCATGGTCTTTGTTTTCTTCTTTGTGTTGAAACTTTTTTTATCACGTTACATTTCTTGTGCATTTTAATGTTTGTTGTGGGGCAACCAAAAATGGATGTTGTTACAACCTCAGTGTTCTTCGCATTCACAGGGAGCCTGTCAGTTGTCATGGATAATCATGCAAGCTTCATTCTGTAGTGCTTTAAAATTATGTATGCTCTCATTATCGTTTGCTTGTGCAGTGACCAAATTATGTACTTAAATTATGTAATAATTAAAATTATGGAATTATGTTTTTCATCCATATGATTTACAGTTTATTATTATTTTCGTCTCTAAAGCATAACTTTAAGTATGAGAGATGAGAACAGCAATGAGTTATAAGCCAAAAATATGAAAACGACGGTAAATTATAAATTATAAATTACATGGATAAGAATCATAATTTTGAAAAGTATAAGGACAAAAATAGTAATTTAACAAACTACATGGACGAAAAACATAATTTTTACTCTAATTTTTTAATTTATATGGTTGGAAAGTTTATTGTTGATTAATATTTTTATAATCGTAATTTACTGGGAAAAAAAACGTTGATTGGGCAATGATTTAGGGTTGAATCACTAGCCCATGACAAGCCCAAAATCCGTGTACGTATCACAGTCTGGTTTGTCAATAAGCTAGTATCATGTCGTCTGATTTTGGGCCGAAATTTACAAGCTGATCCACTACACTATGAACGGGTACTTGTTCAAATTGTTTCTTATCTCATTTCATAATCCGAAAGTTGACAGAGTCCCCCCCCCCCCCCCCCCCCCGCCGGGTGAACTTCGTATATTCGTTTGACAGTTTTTTTGTGTTTGATCTCAATAACGGATCGATGTGTCGTAAGGCAGGCTCACAAAAAGTGAACTGGTGAAATTGGTGAATCATTTTATATTTAATCGTTTGATATATCTTCCCTACTCTTTTGACTTTTTCCGCATATTAAACAAACAAATGATTTCGAAAACTTGTGCCTATACAACCTTTCTACTTGTATGTTTAACGATATTTAAAATAACCATTGACATTTTTTGGCTACTGATATATGTGAGTGGACATGTGGGCAGACATGTATATCAGTAGATTTAGATTTATTCAAGAATATCATGTCGATGGTTTTAGAGTAAACGGTAAATTTCATCACTATATTATATGTTAATATGCTTTTTGAGTCTATTAGCTTCTTTTTCTTGTGTCGTTGGTTCAAAATATGTATTTTTGACGTTTTAGCCTATGAATCAGTAATTTTACCTGAAGGGGTTGTTACATAATAAACATTTATTTCCATTCATCGTTATTTTTGCAGTATATAATATTTATATACTGCAAATGCAACAAATAAACTCATACACTATCCTTATCTTTGGTGAGGTTTGAACCCCTGACTTCCTAGGAGACCAAAGGCTACGATACCGTTAGGTGGGAAAAAAAGACAATTTTAAACATTTTACACCCCATGATTTGATAAAAGTTCATCATATATTCATTACAAAATGGGTTCATTTTATTTGAATGTATGTGTAATTATACAAATTCGGTCACTCAACCGACAATAGAATTCTCGTTAAATGTGTAAAAGTTGGAAAATGCTCGGAAAGCATGTCGATAATGGAAATGTCGTTTATAAGTCGGAAGATATACCAAAATTATATCTGATATATGAAAACAGATCTTGTAATATTTAATCTTTAAACATATAATGAGAAAAGGAAAAAAAAAAAAACAAATGTTGGCTTAATAAGATATCTGTTTTTTGCGAAGATATGAAAAATTAAATTGTGGAGAGTAATTCTAGATATCCACAACATCTTTCTGATTTCTGTATTTTAGTTCATGTCAGCTTTCAGATGATCATTAACTGTAGACTCTTTTAAATCATTTAATCTGAACGTTTCAAATAGTCTGATACAAAATTATGTAATTTGTTTGGTGTATATTTTTTTGAGACTTTTGGGGTATAAACCAAGATCTATAAAATCATCCAATAAGTGAATATATCTGAGTGAACCACTTGGGTTGTGGCTTATTAGTTAAGCCTTAAAAGGATATAGTAGAAAATCTCATCTACCACGAGTTTGAAACCAGGTGCTGTCAAAGCCCTTCGGACTATGGATGTTCACTTGCGATGACTCCGAGCTATTTGTGGTCGCTTGGAGGATTAGTTGGTGCCTGTAAACTCGTCTGAAAACCCACAGTCATCCAAGAAAATTATGGTAAATGATCTAAAATGTGATACAATACGATTTATATAGTTTGTACCTAATGCATACTAAATTATAATCAAAAGTTTAAAGCAAGTCTAATATTGCACATAACATAATTAATTTTTTTAGAATAAATATAAAACAAGCAAACAAAAATCTCCAAAACAAACCTAACATAACCCTTCATTTTAATGGATTTAATTTTATTTACTATAAAACAATAAACTGATTTTTTAAAGAAAGTTGATTACCGGTAATTCAACTGATCTTATACGGAATCAGTATTTTAAGGATATTAATATGAGGGTATTTTTTGACTTACTCGATGACTGAGGTTAGCAAGGGACCGCGGTCGAACTCGATACATGTTTTGTATTTGAACAAAGTTGTCATACCATTTACCAACTAAGCTACACGTTAGAAGCAAAACAATAAACTTATTATATTTTATTCTTATTTATTATTTGATAAAAAAATTAATTGAAATAATAGTTTTTATAATTAAAATCACAATTCGAAACGTATAATATGGTTTGAAATTTTGGACACACGGCAATGTCATCAATGAATTTGTTGAACTATTCAGAATCAAAACCCTTTTTATTATTATTATTATTATTATTATTATTATTTTATATATATCTATACTATCTTATAAAACATTTGGCTAAAATTCTTAAACTTGTTCATCCCTAAACGATTTCATCCCTATCCGATTTCATCCCATTTCTGAATTCGTGTAACTAACTGCAGATAAACACAATCAAATACATGATAAACATCTCATTTTAAATATAAAAAATCTAAAATATAATTAGGA